AGTGATTTGATTTTTGATGGTGTGAGTTTTCCTGCTAATAATAATGATATAGATATATTTGAAGAAAATAATAAATCAATATCCATTAATGTTTATGAAATTGATGATAATGAACAAATTGTTATTAGTAGAAAATTGAAAAATAAAGATGCTTCTTTTCATTTTGATTTGTTAAGAGTTGATGATGAGGATTGCAGTCATTATGTGTATATAAAAAGTTTGAGCAGACTTATTAATAATCAAAAAAGTAATCATAATGGTAAGTCCTATTTTTGTAAATATTGTAATCATGGATTTAGAAATGAAGAATTATTAAATAAACATTATGATAGTGGATGCATGGAAGTTGATGGTCAACAAATAGTAATGCCTAAGCCTTATGAGAAAGTTAGTTTTAAGCATCACTTCAAAAAGTTAAGATGTCCTTTTGTTGTATATGCTGATTTTGAATGTTTGACAGAGGAACTGAAAAAACCTGATGAAGATGAAGATAAAAACACTTTTTCTTATCAAGAGCATAAACCATGTGGTTTTATGCTTAATATGGTTAATGCTGTTGATAATACAAATTATGAATTTATGTATCGCGGTAAAGATGCTGTTGATGTGTTTTGTCAAAAACTTAATGACATTAGGGCAGAAGTAAAGGAGAAGATGGGAGAAAACGAAAAAATAGACATGACCGATGAAGACAAAGAAGATTTTAAACATGCTAAAAACTGCTTTATTTGTGGGGATAAGTTTAGAATGAACTATAAGAATGCCAAGGAAGCAGAGAAATATAGAAAAGTTAGAGACCATTGTCATTTTACAGGTAAGTATAGAGGTTGTGCTCATAATGTTTGCAATCTTAATTTTTGTAATAGATATTTTAAAATTCCAGTATTCTTTCATAACATGAAAAATTATGACGGTCATTTAATTATTCAAAATGCTGATAAATTAAGTAACAACAGTAAAATAGGTGTCATCGCTCAGAACAGTGAAAAAAATATTAATATCAGTTTTGAATTTTTGAGTGTTAAAGACACTTTTGGGTTTTTAACTGCTTCATTAGATAAGTTAGTTTCAATGAGTAAGTATGACAATACAGATGAAGAAGATAAACGTAAATGGTTATTGCGTGAAAACTGGAAAGATAATTTTAGGTTCAGTAGTAAAAATGGTTTGATTAAGAGTGAGAAATGTCTAGATTTATTAACTGATAAAGGCGTTTATCCTTATGACTACATGAATTCATTTGATAAATTTGATGATGAGAAATTACCGAGTAAGGATGATTTTTATAGTCAGTTGAGTGAAGAAGGTATAAGTGTTAACGACTATGAAAGGGCAAAAATTATATGGAAGCATTTCGACATTAAGAATATGGGTGAATACCATGATTTATATTTGAAAACTGATGTATTATTATTGACTGACATTTTCGAAAATTTTAGAGATGTATGTATGAAATATTATGGATTGGACCCTGCTTATTATTATACATTGCCTAACTTTGCTTTTGATGCTATGCTTAAAATGACTGGTGTAGAGATTGATTTAATATATGACCAAGAAATGTATGAAATGATAGAAGCGGGACTTAGAGGCGGGATGTGTATGGTTTCTACTAAAAAAGTTGAAGCAAATAATAAATACATGGGAGAAGAATATGATAAAAATAAAGAAAGTAGTTATATTAACTATTTTGATGCTAATAATTTGTATGGGTTAAGCATGATACAAAAACTGCCATATAAAAATCTAAAATGGGATGATACATTAAAAGAAGAAGACATTATTAATTATAAGAATAATAATATTGGATATATTCTAGAAGTGGATTTAGAATATCCTAAAGAATTACACGATTTACACAATGACTATCCAATGGCACCTGAGGTTATGAATGTTAAAGCCAACATGCTGTCAGATAAACAAATTGAAATTTATGAATTTTTAAATCATAAAAAACCTACGGATGAGAAAACAAATAAATTAGTATTGAATTTAAATGATAAAGAAAAATATGTAATCCATATAAGAACCTTACAATTTTATTTGAAGCAGGGGTTAAAACTTAAGAAAATTCATAGAGCAATTAAATTTGAACAAAAAGAAGTTTTAAAACCTTACATTGAGTTTAACACTGAGAAGAGGAAGAATGCTAGAAATGATTTTGAGAAAGATGTTTACAAATTGATGAACAATGCCATATTTGGAAAAACAATGGAGGATAAGCGAAAACATTTAGACTTTGAAGTTGTGAGTGATGAAACTAGATATATGAAGTGTGTAAGTAATCCTAACTTCAAACATAGTCATATCATTAATGAAAATTTGGTTGGAGTTGAAAAGCAAAAAACAAAGTTGAAACTAGACAAACCTATATTTATTGGGATGAGTATTTTAGATTTGAGTAAGCAACACATGTATAAATTTTATTATGACGTTATGAAGCCTAAATATGGAGATAATATTAAAATGGTATATACTGATACTGACAGTTTTGTATTTCATACTAAAACCAATGACATTTATGAAGACCTGAATACAATTAAAAAAGAATTAGATTTTTCAGATTATCCTAAGGAACATAAATGTTATGATGATAATAACAAGAAAGTATTAGGTAAATTTAAGGATGAATTAAAAAGTAAAATAATAACAGGGTTTATAGCTCTTCGTCCTAAATGCTATGCTTACTCAGTTTATGGTGATGATAAAAAATATAAGAAATGTAAGGGAATAGCAAAAGGCACAGTAAGACGTCAAATGAAATATGAAGAGTTTGAGACGGTTTTAAAAACTAATGAGGTTATACATAAGTCATTTAATAGTATTAGAAGTAAAAACCACAGAATTTTTAGTATAACAACTAAAAAAATTGCTCTTAGTAGTTATGAAAACAAAAAATATTGGATAGATAGTATAAACTCACTTGCTTACGGCCATTATAAAATAAATTCTTTGAAAACGACTTAAAGAAATATTGACTTAATATATTAAGATAGAAATGAACGGTGATAAAATCAATAATTATATCAATAAAAAATGCTATGATTGTTGTCACTTCAAAAAAGAAAATATGGAATTGTATAAATTAAATTTACCTAATAAAATATTGAATAATATTATTAATTATTCAATGGATGAAGAAGATGAATGTAAAATTTGTCAGGAATGGAGAGATAATCAAGTTTTAATCAAATGTCTGTTGAGAATAAAAGGGAGACATAATAGAAATGTAGAAGATGAGATTTTAATATTTCTAACTGTAAATAAAATACCACCTTACGATTATATTAAACAGTTTCTTAAAATCCCTAAGAAAAATATGGTATGATTGATGATATATTAAGGATGTTGTGTTATAGTCAAGAGAAAGGAGAAGATGTTAAAGAAAATATCAAATTATTTATTGAAAGTAAAAATTTTAATGTTCAAAATACATTGAGAGATATTAATATTATTTTTAAAATGATGTATGAAAGAAGTAAGACAAATCAATTAAATTATTATCCTGTACTGAAATTATAATCATACTATGATTATCACATGTAAAATATTATATGTTATAATTGTAATATATTTATCGTTTGTAAAGATTGAATTATTATATTTTCCTAATTTGCTTATCTCTTTCAAAGTGCGTTGTTTAGACTTGGTATGCTTCTTCAGTTTTTTCGTGCTTTGACTGTTTGTTTTTGTTTTGTTTGATACTCTTGTGATATTTTTTGTTGGTATGTTGCTTTGTTTTTTGTTGATGTGTGTTTTTGAGTTTGGGTTCTTTGATGATTTAGAGTGTTGCCTTTTTGTTGGTATGCTTGATTGAATTATTTAATGTTGCATGCTGTGATTAAATATTTTTGTTGTTGGTTGTGATTATTTATTTTGTTTGCTTGTTGTTCTGGATTTTGTTTTCTGTTTGTTGTGTTGCTGTTGGAGAAAAAATAGTAGAAAGAATAATTCTTTGAATTCTCCTTTTACTATTTTTTGGGGGGCAGGTTGCTTAAAGAGAAACCAACCGATTTGTTGTTTCTTTCTTTTTTTTTTGGGGGGGGGGGGCAGATTTTGACGCATACTTCTGCTTTTCATGTTAACCCACAGGGTCCAATCACTTTCTCAGCATGTACATTTAAGAGGTAACACAGGGCTCAAGTACATCGTCAGAGGGTACTTGGCGTGTTTGTGAAAGGTTGGCGCCTCTGCTTTCAGGCCTTTCCCTTATTTGACCCGTTCGCAACACAGACCTCCCCCGCATGAATGAACATGGCGGATTTGTAGGGCGTTGTTCCCCCAAAAAAGTGTAGGGTTGCCTCTAGGGGGCACTTCCCATGCCTTGACAAATCAAAGAAACCTGTAAAAAGCGTTGAAGAATTCAGAGAAAGGGGGGCATGGTTGTGGGAGTTGCTTTTGCTGGGATGCCAATAGGTAAAGCCGGGTTTGCAAGGCCAGACCTGGAAGCGATTTCTGAGTTCACCCGGACCCTTGGAATGTTGCCAAGAGGCGCAAAGAATTGCCCGGGTTCATGAAAGTGAACAGGGGAGTCAGATTTCCTGATAGGGGTGACAGCGAGAGCGTCACTTTAGACCCAGAAAGGGGCCAGGCCTTCCTGGCTTAGCGGGCGCTGCTCGGAGAGCTGTTGGGATCGCTTTGGTATGTCCATGTCTGGAACAAGGGGAGCCTCCCTTGTTGCGAGAACAGCCGGTCTATTTAGGTGATTCCACGTGTCCGCCATTGCTCGCGGTTGGTTGTGTGCGCGTGCACGGTTGTACAACACTTGAGATGATGTAGTTGTGCATGGAATTTGGTTGTATTTAGAGTTGTTCCCAACGTGAGTTGCATTCGACTCGAACATATCAGCTCCACTTCAACGAGCTCTTGTGATAAGTCCATGCAGAATCTTGGTCTGGATGCTTTACTTCCAGTTGGTGAATCCTATAACAGCTTTCCTGACGTCAACTGCAGTTTGCCCATTCCGAAATTTGTGCTGGCACTTTCGGATGGAGCTATTGAGGAGAGAAGACAGCTGCGGAGGCAGGGCAAAAGCCGGCGATCGAAACAGAGTGTTAGAAGCCGGCCGATGGGGCCTCCCAAGACAAAACTGACTTTGGGCGGGGGGGAGGGGGGGGTGAGCGGGTAAAAAAGCCAAGACGAATCAAACTCAGTTGAACCTTGACCTCTATTGAAGCTGTTCCGCAGAGCCAGTCTTTTGGTTTGGCCAATTTTTCACCCCAGCACCCCGACTTTTTAGACTACCTTGTGAATCAGATGACTTTGGAGATCTCGTTCCGCCTATGGCGAGCTCACTTGGTAGAACGAGCTCAACATGATTCAGGTCCCTTACTTTCATTTGCCACCTTTTGACCATTTGGTGTGCCTTGTTGGCTCATTTTGAGTAAAGGTCTCAAGAGGTAAACCTGATATTTCTGGGTCCTTTGGGCAACTGAGTGCTGGGAGATGCCAGTTTTGGGTTTAGTGGGAAACCTCTAGGTGTACTCACATTTCCGCTCTTGACTCTGGAGGTGGAACCGCAGTCCGGGGGCCTGATGGAAGGCCCTGAGTTGAAAGAGCCTTTGTCGACTGCGGTTTTCACATCCGCAGATGGTTCTTGGGTAAGGGTTCCCCTTTACACTGTAAACTCAACAAACCACAGCAACAAGTCGTTTTGTCTATTCTCTGGGTGGAATGCGAATCTTGGACACAGCGTTCCAAGTTTGAAGGGCGGGAAGCCATTGATAGAGTGAGTCACCATGCCCTATTGTCATACTGTCTTCTGATGTATTTGGTCCCTGCGCTCATAATCAGTTGTGGGGATTGTTATCATGCACCCCCTGTCATGTGTACCCAACAATATATTGCTGCAGCCCCAACAGCCGCCTTCAACTTACCCTTCCACCGACAAGCGTGGAAGTGCCCTTTGCCAAAAGGTGTTTGTGCACTTCCATGTTTGTCGGTGGGAGGGTACGCGTGTTTGGTCAAACATGACTCAAATCGGAAGGATAACATCCCAGCCGAGAATCTCCAGCTTGCGCAATTTGATGGCTCTTGGATGCTCTTAGGCCACAAACGGATTGCTCCCAAACAACGTGAAACCTGTAAGACTTGAGGCCCCTTTAGGCAGCGTTATGCTTGATAGGAGCAAAGGGCCCCTTGGGTGGCCTTTACGCAGTGACATGTCAAATTGTGTTTGTATTCCAACCCATGCGGCGCATACAAAGCAGGAGCCGATTATCCAACTGCGTTGTTGTGTCAGCATTCTGGGTCCACTTTGATTCTCTCTTAATTACTTCCCAGGCCCGCGTCCTGCAGATTTCATCTGGACCAGGAGAAGGCGGGTGGCTGGGTCAGTGGTTCTTCGCCTATCCAACCTTTTGACCTTTTGGCCAAGCTTCGAGTCAACTTATGAGTGTTGGTTCCGATCTATGTTACGCATCACATTCACATTCGATACACAGTGTATACACATATGATGTGTTATATCATAATATCTGTATACAGGCTGCCTGAAATCACGATAGAATCCCAAGGACCCTGTTGTCCAGGAATCTCTTCTTGGGGACCTCTTCCGGCAGTTTTTTTGGAGAGTCCCCGTTTTGGGGGGCCAAGTCGTCATTTGGGAGGTGGGGACTCCTCTCAGCCACAAAACCCGAGGAACACCCCAAGTTCCTCATGTCCATTAAGGGAACCGCGTAGAAATGACCATCGAATTTCGGCCTCGTCATTCAAGCATCCTGGTCTGACCACTAGATAGCTCTAGCTGGATTCTTGAAGCTCAAGGCTTCCTTGTTTTCAAAAGTACTCTTTTTGCTCTAGGGATGAACATGCTCCCCAAGGATTTGTAAAAGCCAGGAGCTTGTGGATGAATTGCCCAATGTCCTGCAGGAAGCCACGGTGCAGTTTTGGGAATCAACTCTTGGAACGCTGGCCCGGGTGAAGCACAATATCACTTCCAAACTCTGACCGTAAATGTGTCCGAGGCTCCCACAGGATTCCTATGTGCTTTGGCTTCCGTTAGGCTTTACGTTCACCAAAGGCATCCCTCAATCGCTAATCTTGCAGCTTCCTGGCAACCGACTTAAAGAAATCGATAGAAATCGCATAGGACACATAGGGACCCCTGGAGACTGTTCAGTTGGGGGGGTTACAAGTGTGGCAGGGGGAAAGCTGTGGCGAGTGTTGGATTCTTTATCATGGGATTTGCTTTAGATGAATTCAGTACCAGTCGTTGATTCTGAAGCAGGTGTTACTTTTCACCAGCACCACGCAAGTGCACCTGGCCCTTTGGAGACGATTTTCCTCTTGGGAAGCAGCCCAGAAGCACTAGGATGGTATGTCTTATCCTCACTTCCTGAGTTCATGAACTTTAAACTTTTGGGGAAGACCATTTTAGTGGTAAATATAAAGTTTGGGCTTTTTTGGGCCATCCACTCAGCAAGTGAGTATCTCAAGGTGTATCATCTACGAACCTGAAATGAACTCAGGGGCCTCCCGCCTGGACCCAGGTCAACCTCTTCAGGGCGCTGCAGATCTTGGAAGAGAAGCCGCAGCAGGATCCGTGATCCCAGTTCAGTGGCAAGTGGTGCCTTTTTTGGGGCGGGGGTTCAAAATGGGTACCCTCCCACCAACTAACATGGAAGTGCAAAAAGGCCCTTTCCAAGAGGAAAGTAGTCTTTCTACAAGGGTTTGTGCACCTCCATGTTAGCTGGTGGGAGGGTATGTGTCAAAATAAACATTCGGACCCCCAAGAAGGATTTCGGTGCTCCTTTTGGCTTGCCTTTGAGCCAACCCTGACAAGGGTCCCGCGGAAAAGGACACCCCACTTGGCAGCACATGTCCGTCCTTTCGCAAACTGACAGATGGGTATGTCTGAAAATGTTTTTTTTATGGTTTCTCTTTCAGGCTGCCTGAAAAGGGTACCAACTCAACAGAAACGCAAGAAAGGGGGGGGCGGGTTGGCGCGGCAACTCGCGAGGTGCGTGAGAAGTTCGACCTCGTGCCGGTGGCGCGGCCGTGGCCTGGGCCAAGTTTGAGAACTTTTGCGCTAGGCCTTGGGTTTGGATTGGTTTGGGGGTTTGACGCATGGGGTACCATGGGGTAGTATCTATGGTAGTAACTATGGTAGTAACTGGTGGTTTCGAATTTTGGGATTTGAACCATGGGGTAGTAACTATGGGGTAGTAGCTATGGCGAAGCAACCATGGGAAGAACCAGTTCCTGTTGAAACCTTGGAAGTAGTGTCTAATGTCCAAACCACACCAAACCACGTTGGGGCAAGGCGAAGAGATGCACAACAGGGTTCCAGAGCACACCTTGCTTGTGGCAAGTACTGAGGATGGAGAAGAACCTGCACCAGTCGGTAGGTGGTTCTAGCCCAGTATTCATAGGGTTCCATCCATCCCAACTGGTGCTGGAGTTTGTTGTGTCTGTCAATTCACTGTAATATGTTGTGATGCCCCGGAACCCCGAGTGGTAAAGTGGTCATACAACATACGACATAGATATATGTATATACACATCTAAATAGGGTAGAATAAGTATGTCGCAAAAAATGAACATGTTACTATGGATGTACCCCAGATGGGCTTATTTCAGTCTGCAAACAATACCGACATCAAAAACGGATCCCGTATTTGGGTAGGTGAATCATCACAGATCAAGGGGTGCGGCTCTAGCAACCTTATACATACATACATGCACACATACATACATACATACATACATACATACATACATACATACATACATACATACATACATACATACATACATACATACATACATACATACATACATACATACATACATACATACATACATACATACATACATACATACATACATACATACATACATACATACATACATACATACATACATACATACATACATACATACATACATACATACATACATACATACATACATGCATACATACATACATACATACATACATACATACATACATACATACATACATACATACATACATACATACATACATACATACATACATACATACATACATACATACATACATACATACATACATACATTACATACATACATACATACATACATACATACATACATACATACATACATACATACATACATACATACATACATAGATACACGCATACATGCATACATATGCCCACTGTTTACAGAAGTTTGACGTTGGAGGAATGCATACAAATCCTGCCGTCTTACCTCTCAAGGGATTCCTCAGGGGAATGGAGCAGACCGCGGTTTGCGGAGCCATTGCTTTTGTGGCTGGGTGGGTCGTAAGAGACACCGTTTTAGGCCACTCAAAGCCTGAGATCCCCGCGTGCAACTGCAACTGTTATTGGAAAGCCGGATCTGCAGACCACAATTGGACGCCAAGCTTTCACCTGTTAGCTGGATTGGTGGTGCTTGGGCTTTGCTTGGTTTTTTCCCAGACTGCATTGGCCCTGAAGCTCACATTCAGTGACGCTAAGACTGGTGAGGATCGTGTGCTGAGCCTGGACGTCAAGGGCTCCGGGAAAAGCAAAGGAGTATTTGGCGTTGCAAAGGGTGTGCAGATTAGGTGAGCCAAATGGCGTTTGCCCCAGGGGATGTAGTGTATGTCAACTACGGCGAGGCTCCGCCGTGCATTCATACAAGGCTAGTGCTCGACCATGTCGAGGGGGACGAGTACCTGATCACGACCCCTGATTTGGACCAATATGTGGAGGAGTTGGCTGCAGGGAATGGGGAAGTTACGGGCTTTCATCCCGCTCTTCCGGGCGGGGCCCCGCCTCATGGAGTAAATCCTGCACACATCTACGGGTTCAGACCAATGACAGCTGTTCAGTATGGTGCTCTGCTTCAAGCGGGGCAACAAGCAGCGGCGCAAGAGCGAACTCGGCGAGGCTTGGGCGTTGCGCCGGCACCAGGTGCTCCAGCAGCCCCAGTGTTCGGTGCTTTAGTCTGGGTTCTGGCCGAGTTTGTGGAAGGTCACAAGATAGGTGAGAGAGTGCATCCCGTGGTGGGCCATCCTATTGATGGTGTGTGGGGTCTGGCCAATGTGACTTCGAGCGGGGGTGTGACACGCCCATGCTTGATCCATCAGATTGCTGAAGATGCGATACCCGCTTTCTGCGAAGAGAGGATCCGCCTGGCAAGGATGTCGGAGGCTGTGGAAGGGGACGATAGGTCCGCAAGTGAAGATGTTCGCACTCTTGAGGTACGATATGGAGTGAACGGTGAGAGGCTTCGCAGCTTTCGGGAGACCGTCAATGAGCTACAAGTCTGCGAGTTTGAAGATTTTCCTTTCCAGCCCCGAACAGCGATGGAGTATGTCAAGGCGGTGTCATCAATCTCCGAGAGCGCAACAGCGCAGCATCACATGTGGCTGGGCGCGTCAAGAATCCCCGACGGAGATCGAAGCGTGTATGAAGATGAGGTGCTTGCGAGGGCTCTGGACCTTGCTGTGACTTACGACAGCTTGAATGTTGCCAACCTGGCGTGCATGGAGCTCATTTGCAGGCGACGCCAGCTGATTTCAGAAGCCCATGCCAACTCGCCAGGTGCCCCATCGTACATGGGGGCAGAGCATTTCATGGGTCAGACTTACCGGCAAGGTGGAGGAATCGTGGTTCCCACGCTAACAGATTTCGTGGCCAAGAAGATGCAGGCGCAATCGCAGATCATGAAGGAGAAGAGGAAGTTGGCAGAAGCAAAAGGGTCCAAAAAGGGCCAACCAAAGGCCGCTCCGAAGGGTGGGGCGGCGGGATCTGCGTGAGTGCCAGCACAGGGGGTTGCGGTGCTGTGGCCGCATCCTCCCGTTTTGGCAGCAATGCCTCTCCACAGCAAGACAAATTGGAGCAGTCCGGTTTTTCACGAGCCTCTCAAGGATGGACGTAAACGAGATGTTTTTCCTTTACCGCTGATACAGAGTGAAGTGGGTCCTCGAGGGGATGTGTGCAGGGCTGTTGCAAAGAGAGTTTTCCGACGACGGGCTGTCATCGAAGAGGTGAACCAGTCCATTTCTGCAATGAATTCGCTATTTTTCGGTGGAAAGGGCTCTGGCCACGACAGGTCAATTGGTGCCTTCGGTGGATTCTCTTCCGACTTCTCAGAAGGAGGCCATCAAGGGTATCATCTCTGCCGTGAAGCGAATGGGGCCCAAACCTGCTGGTGCATGCGGCTCAGAAGCCCTACAGGCGCTTCGTGCAGCTTCGTCTTCATATGTGCCTTTGGAGACGGGCGTGGGTGATGTTGTGCCAATGAGGCTTGACCAGCTTTCGCTTCCTGAAGGGACCTCTTCGGGAGTTGACATGCTTCAGGCACTTGATGGTGATCTTCGAGATGTGGTGGAGAACTTCGAGGATCGAATGCTGCAGGATGCCGACGTCTGGACTCACATTTCCAGAAGCGCATCAAGGTTGGTGCCGTATGACGACCCTTCACTCAGGTCTCGACGCAAGTATCTTGAGTTTCTTCGGGAGCTGCGTGATCGGGGCATCCTGTGCTTCACTGAGGAGTGCAGGGGAAGGGTTGGGGCATTCACTGTGGCTAAGAAGGCCAAGGTTGTTGATGGGGTTGTCAAACCTCGTCAAAGACTCGTTCTTGATTGCAGGCAAACAAACATGTTGTTCAAGCCATCTCCGCACACTCAGCTGGGATCTTTGTCTGCCCTTTGCGACTTGGAGCTTGAGGATGGCGACAACCTTTATATTGCTGGAGCCGACATCAAAGACTGCTTTTACGCTGTTCGGTTGCCTGCAGGGTTGGGGTTGGAGCAGTTCTTCGTGTTGAGAGAGAATGTTTGCTTTGAGGATGCTGACTGGGTGACGAGATACAATGGGTCTATCCATGCCAACATGAGACGGTTTTGTCCTGCAATTGCTGTTGTCCCAATGGGTTTCTCGTGGTCCTTTTACTTTGTCCAACAAATCCATGAGAGGGCGGCTTTGCGGAGTTTGGGTATTCCTAGGGAGCAGGTTGTTCTCGAAGGTCATCCGGCTCCCGTCATCCCCAAAAAAGGTATCCTTACACTGCCCTATTGCGACAACGTGCACACAATCAGCACCGACCCAGACGCATGCAACGACGCCAAGCAGAAGGTATCAGCAGAGTTGGAGGGGCTTGGTTTTTCGCTGCACGAGGAGGAATCGGCCAGCGCCACCTTCAAAACTTTGGGAGGTGTGGTCGACGGGTGTGCTGGGGAAATCCGGGCAACCATTGCAAGGGCATGGAAGATCAAGCTCGCTTTTCAACAAGTTACCAAGGTCGCTGTCTCGGGGAAAACGATTCAGAAGCTGTTGGGGCATGCGATGTTGTTCTGTGTCTTGAATAGGGCAGGTATGAGCGTGTTCCGGTCGCTGTATGACTTCATCGAAAAGAACCCCGATGGCAGCCCAAAACGTTTTCTGCAGGGTCGTGAGATCGAGGAGTGCAAGATATTTGCAGGGTTGATACCTATGCTTTACGCAGATATTAGACGATGTTGGAGCCCCACTATCCATTGCAGTGACGCGTCTCCCACCGGTTATGGCATTTGTCAAGCCGAAGTCGACCGCAACGAAGTTGGTCGCGTTGGCAGGTGGCAAGAGAGGTGGCGCTTCAAGCGGCTCAGCCCGGAAGAGTGGAACCCGAGGACTCGGGCTCTGCGCAGGGATGTGATTGGGGAGGTTGATACGGTTTTGGGGGCCGATCCGGATGCGAGACTTCTGGAGCAATACGTGGAAGACAGCGATTTTCCTGAAGTACCCCCTCACCTTCTCAGAACCTCCATTTGGAAGACATGTCTCATGGGCAAGTGGGAGTCAGGGAACGAATGCATCACGGTTAAGGAGGGCAGGGCTCTAGTTCTTTGTCTTAGGCGTCTCTGTCGAGCTTCACACACACGTGGCCAGCGACATCTCATTTTGGTTGACAACATGGCACTGGCATTTTCGGCAAACAAGGGCAGAGCTCACACTTACGACATGCTTCGCATTACACAGCAGCTCAGTGCATTGTCTTTAGCTGGAGGTTTCAGTTTTCGAGTGCGGTGGGTACCCTCAGAGGCCAACCCCTCGGATGGCCCTTCCAGGGCCCAGGTCCACCCGGGTCCTTACAAGCCATGGAGTGGCAACGAGGCCCCGGGTTGCCCCGCCGCCTGTGAGAAGCCTCCCAGCTCAACAGCAAAAAGCAAGACAGCGTGTCATGAAAGTGGACACCATCCGGGTTGCCAAGAAAATAAAGAGCCGAGTGTTAAAGTCAGACAAGGTGATCAAGCTGGTCACCCCGGGCGCAAGAAGATCAGTGCAGAGAATCCCGGCAGAGCAGGAGTTGATGGTTGGAAGGCGGGCGCAAAATTGCATGATGACGATCCTGGAGGAGCGTTCTGTGAGCAGCGAAGTGCAGCACCAGTACAAGAACTATTATGCAATGTTCCAGGGTTTCTGCCAAACTTCCGGAATAAGTTGGCCCACCGGGGACAACACAGATGCGATCTTGGCAGACTTCCTGGACTGTCTATTCGTAGACGGAAAGTCTGCGAGCGAGGGGGAGAAGGTTGTGGCGTCAGTGGAGTTTTTCAACATATCCCAGAAGGGGCGTCTTCCGCGGAGCCGGAGGGCTCTAAAAGGGTGGAGGAAAGAAAAGCCACCCCAGAGCCGGCTGCCGCTACCAGCGCTGCTGGCCAGGGGCATGTCGATGGTGCTGGCAGGCAGAGGGGAGATGCTCATGGCAACAAAGCTGATGATAGACCACGACTGCTACCTCAGACCTGGAGAGAGTATCGGGCTTCGCGGAAAAGACCTGGTGGCGCCGGTTCCGGGAGGAGGGCCGCAGTACCGACATTACAGTCTGGTCATCCGCGATGCCGAAGACGGGAAGCCAGACAAAGTCGGTGTATTCGACAACAGTGTGCCTCTCAGCAGCCCAGGCAGAGAGTTTCTTGGCAGAGTGTTGCACAAGTATGTGAAGAGGCTCAAGTCCAAGAACGACTTCATTTACCCCTTCAGCAGCGCCGAGTTCAGAAGAGAGTTTGCAGCAGCTGGGGCAGCTCTGGGGGTTCCAGGGCTCCACCCCTACCAGCTGCGCCACGGCGGCGCAGCCGAAGATCTGCAAACGCGAGCTCGGGATCGCGCTGGAGTGAAAGCGCGGGGCCGTTGGCACACGGACCAGAGTGTGCGACGGTACACGAAAGTGGGGAAGATTCAGCAATTGCTGAACAAAGTTTCGTCAGAAAACATGGAGTTCTGTCGATGGTCGAGTCAAAACCTCGAGCGTGTTCTGCAGGGGACGATCGCAGCAAGAATGCCATGTTGAGCTTTGGATGGGAGGATATATTCCATGTCTCACCCTTGCCTTCATCTTTTTGCTTGGAGCTGTTCGCGGGTACAGCGCGTATTTCATCGGCATTTCTTCAGCATGGAGTTGCGGCATACCCCGTTGACATTTGCTTATTTTCCTCACATAATGTTCTCGACGTTCACATCGAACACAGAGTCATAAACTTGCTGAAGAGTGGCCGCGTTTGTTTCCTTTGGGTTGGCATGCCGTGCACTTCGTTTTCGATTGCGCGAAAATGGGACGGGAAAGGGCCTGGACCATTGCGAGATGCTGACCACCTATGGGGATTTAACTGGCTCTCTGGTAAGGATCTGGCAAAGGTTCGACAGGGAAACCAACTTCTTCGTTTCTCCCTTCGTTGTATGAGACTTTGTGAAAAATATCGAATCCCATATGCGCTGGAGAACCCAATGTCGAGTTTTGCTTGGCAAATGCCTCCGGTGCAGCGCTTTATTGATGAGTTTGCTCCTTCTCAGGTTCATTTAGATTATTGCCAGTTCGGCGAGTCGTGGCAGAAACCTACCACTATTTTGGGGGCGCACTGGAACCTTGCACCACTTGCGCTTCGTTGTACGGGAGGTTCTTATACTTGCTCGAAAACCCAGCTGCGACACGTTCGGCTGACAGGACTCGATGACAACGGCGTCTTCATGACGCTGAAGGCGCAACCTTACCCGCAGCAGTTTGCTGCCGCCGTTGCATCCCTGGCAACCATTGCCACCTGATGTTCGGTGGGATTTGGGAGCTATCGCTATCAAGTCACCACACCGGATTCTTTTCATTGATGTGGATCTGAAAAATATTCCGGTGTTTACCACCTACCTGACGGCAGCTGCTGCACTTAATGAAGTGCATAACTACTTGCAGGCGGAGCCCTGCATCTGGCAGAAAAAGTGTGCAGCTCCGGATGAGTCATGCCCACTGTTTACAGAAGTTTGACGTTGGAGGAATGCATACAAATCCTGCCGTCTTACCTCTCAAGGGATTCCTCAGGCCGCCTCCTCCTCTCCTCCATCCACTTGGGGAGCTATCGCTATCAAGTCACCACACTGGATTCTTTTCATCGATGTGGATCTGAAAATATTCCGGTGTTTACCACCTACCTGACGGCAGCTGCTGCACTTAATGAAGTGCATAACTACTTGCAGGCGGAGCCCTGCATCTGGCAGAAAAAGTGTGCAGCTCCGGATGAGTCATGAATATGTACACATACATATCATTCAGCTTTTACTACCGGGTTTGTAGTGGCACATAATTATCAGATATTGTCAACGCTTCCGGATTTTTTTGTTGGTGCACAATTATTCAATTACATTCCACCGCATCGCCTGTTGGCACATTTGGGTGATAGGCGGCCGACAGAGCACGTGACTGAGCAGGATGCTAGAGATGTTGATCCCTCTCCGCATTTGCCTGACCCATGCAACTAATAGCGAACTGCTGATGAAAATGCATGAAGGCAAAAAAGCCAAGCACGGAATCCCCAGCTCCCGGCACCTGCCCAGAACCCTCCACTTTGCCGCGCCCCTGAAGTCCGGGAGTGGATTGACCCCAGAAAACTGATCTGGACCTATTTGGAGCCCAGTTTGTTTTTCTCCCCAGCCTCAGCTTATGGGGTGTGCACATCTTCAAAGCCCTCCCAAATGGTTGGGGACACCCAACTTGGGCCGCAAATGTTCACAGCCCGCCAAGACCAAGTGAGCTCAAGTGGATTTCAGGCAAACTAGGCCACCAGCCATTTCTACTTGTTCAATGGTTTTCTTAGCTGCCCGCAAAGGAAATGGAACCGGGAAATGGTTTTCTTCATGGACGTCCTTTCGCATTGAAAGCCACAAAATTGCCATTGCGCCAGGCCTGCGAAGCGGCCTCGCATCGCAGGCCCCTCACCAGGCGGAGATGGGACCTTCGACCTTCGACTCAGCTCAAAGCGAATGGACCGGATCTGACCTTTTGGTTTTCCCTTTTTGGTCCCAAAAGGCCAAAAGGTCGACCCCAACAGGGACCCCACATCGACCTATTTTTGGTAGAGGTCCCAAAAGGTGATCACCTTTTATTTGCAGGTCCGAACTGGGCAAGTGAGATATCATATGGTTGATCAAGAGGTCGGATAGACGAGGACCATGGGTTGGAAAACCACCAAGAAAGATTCGATGTTTCAAGGGTGGTGTTCTGGTTGGGTGCTTACGCGAAATCAAAAGGAACCCACCTGGTGTGGGGTTGCACTTCACCATCAACTTAGATTTGCACGTAGTAATCTAGATCATAGTTTTGAACATGTTTTGAGTCAAGACATGGCTGGCAGTTTTGAGGTTTTAAGGGGGTTGTCAGAGCCAACATGCCCAATCCTAGAGGAAAATGCGGGATCTCCCCTGGTGGCACATTTTAGTGAGTCCAGCAGATTCTATAAGCGACCAGACCTCCAATGATTGTTTGTAGGTTCTGTTTGTCAGTTCTGGCAAGATCGGGCACAGTACGTACCCCACTTGCATGGGGCAACCGCTATTTCGCTGAGTGCCTCGAGGCCCAGGTCAATCAAAGGGGCTTCAAGGCGATTCAACCCGATCGCAATCTGGTCTCTAGTTTGCGCGTTCGGCTTGCTTCTCAACATGAGCACAAGCTTTCAGCCCTGCTTAGGGTGTTCAGGCGTGCTGAGACCAATAAAACAGACCAAACAAACACAATCCATTGCGAGCGTTTCCTTGCCCCGTCCATGTCGAATTAGCATACGTGTTTAGACAAAGAAGTCGTTCCTCGTTTTGTGGGCAAGTCTTCTGAGTGCGGACAAGCACATTAGGGATTTGTAGATTTGTCGTTTTGGCTGGGAGTCGCCGTAATGGAGAAGAAGGAGCCTTTCTGCTGAGCAACTTACGGAATGCCCTGCCCCTCTCTGCTCAGTTGTTGTAAGAAAATGGACCTCTTGACCTCATGGCTTTCCTGGCTATCATTGTGTCGGATGTTTAGACCGATTTAGACCTGGAATCCCAAAAGGGCCGGTTCATTCCAGGTCCTTTGCTTGCAAGGGATGCTGAGCTCAAACCAACTGGAGCGCAAGCAGTAAGATCAGGATTGCTTCAGCTGAATGATCAGGAAGCGTCTTGTGATGCTATGTTCTACCCTGGACCCCCCCCAAAAAAAATGACGAGGTGATCAGGGGAATGGGCTGCTTTGGTAACTTTTGTATCATTGACGGGGTTATGTTTCGCCGTGAGCAGTTGCCTGTCGCTTAGGAATCTGCCTTAGCGAACTCACATGCGGCTGAAGCAAGCCTCCGGGAAATCGTTCAGGAGGGGTGCTCCATTCCACCACCGCCAACTTGACATCTGCCGGCTCGAAAAACCCCATCAAACCCGGTGGTCAAAGGCAGCCTGCTTGGCTACGCCTCTCCGTTTTACATAATCGTTTCAAATTGGTTACCTGCCATAGTGGTAGCTGGTGGTAGCAATCCGCTGTCGGATTGGGCAGATTGGGAGTTCCCGGCAGGTTGTTCCTGTTCAGTACTTGTGCTGGGGCTCTGAGCGTTCCCATGAAGAGCCCTGGTTGTATGGCACCCATGCAACACCCCATGTGTGTAAGAGGGTTTTCCTCTCTTGGTCGCTCCAAAACAGGGGCTCCCTTTTTCCACCACAGGCACAGGGACCTTTTCCTAGAAACCGGGCGCAGTTCCGCAAGAAACCAGTCGCTGCTGCCAAAAATGAATCGCTTCAAACGCTGTTGCAACACCCTCTCCACCTTAAAAGATACATTTTGCCCATTTGAAACATGGTCTTTTCCGCAAGAATAAAGGGAAACCACCATTTGCAAGGCAATGTTCAGGTGTATAATGCATCCGGATCCCTGCACACGGGGAAGTTTTAACCGAGTCCGAAGGTGGCAACGCGCTGCAGCTCGATGAGTTTATCCAGGTCTTCAAGGCGATCGAATGGAATTCGAATGCGGTCGGGCACGTTCCCCAGACACGTGGCTGGCTTCCTTCTTCCTTTCTTTTGTTGGGGGGGGGGGGGGGGAAGCCCTTGAAACTCGACCAAAGCAAAGGCCCCCATGGCCACGGGTGGCTGGCTTTTCCTTTTTTTGTTTTTTGGTTGGAGGGGGGGAAGCCCCGTTAAACTCGACTACCAAAATTTCAAAACAGAGGGGCCTTCTTTTCCCATGGCCACTGGGGGTGTGGGGTACTGGTGAGCTTGCCTGAGCAACAGGACCGGCTTTTGGTTGTGGAGCACCTAGGGACAAAACGAGCCCGCCCATGATGAAGTTCACTTCTGTGGGAAACTCCCTGATGTCCTGCTTGCCCAGATCACTTCTTCTGGGGTCTCTTCCAACCATGATATACGTTTTAAGGTCGACTATCTATTTATATACACGTGGTGCAGAGTCAGAATATATCATTCGTGGTTTTAGCTGATGGCCGAGTCAGTCGTGGCTGCAACTAAGTGAGTTCCCCTGTGGTTGGGTGTAATGGTTCCCAGGGTGTCATCGCCAACGGGGGCCTTAGAAAGAGGACTGCAATTCACACCAGCCTTGGTCTTCCAACCCCGAAAAAAGAGACGGGCCCTTCTTGATGAGTTCATCTTCAAACGAATGTGGAAGACCAAGGTATCCAATTCTTCAATGAATGTGGCCTGCCAGTGGTGCCCTTCTTCCCATTGTTCCGCAAGATGGGGACCCCGCCTTTGGCGCCAGGACCTCACCAGCAAAGAGGTCACCAAGGATGAGCTGCTGAAGGCCGCGTCGCTTCCTTCGTGCCAAATCCTTCGTGTAGGATGGGTAAGTTCGCCCAGTCGCCCAGTGGTGCCCCTTGGTTTAACTTTTTTGGGTAAGAGTTCCCTTTAAAGTGCACCAACCAAAAAAGGGATGCCCCTTTTGTTCCATGGTTGCTGGGCATCTGAGCTTAGAATACCGAGGTGCCTCATGTCTTTTTGGACCCAGGCATGGTTGCTCCTGGACCTTGAACATGTTCCGACCTTTTTGGATCGCGACATACGTGCAGAGCGTAAGGAAGAAGTGTCGACCTTTCTGACAATGTCTTTTTATCCCTTTGTGGATTGTCAGCAGGGGACCGCACGCGACTTTTTTTTTAAACTGGGGATGAAGGGGTATGTTTGGGCCACAGCAAGATGAAAGCTTGACACATAGAACCTAGTCTTCAGCGATTGCAGCTGCATGTACTGTGAGTTCACGTTTGCAGCAGTTGAAGAGGTCTCTCAGCTTGTTTGCCTCTTGCGTCGAGTAGGCTGTCATACACTGTCAAATGGTTGGGACCCATCTAGTTGGTCGGTTGTATGCTAGTTTGTTTTGAAACACATCGACCATAGAAAGGTTCGAAATATGCATGTATCTATGCATATATATATATATACACATATGTTATGTTACATACATCCCTGAATGCTTCGGACGGGTTCTTCATTCGAGATGTCATGTGTATACCTGTTGGGCCAGACGCTTTTCATAGAACAACTTTTCCGTGTAGGATGCCCCCTGTCAGTTTCCATCACATCAACTTGACATCAACAACCAATTGCAAGTCACAGCTTGTTCTCTTCCCAAGCTTCGGTGCGAATGTAAGCGATCTCCTCTTGCATTCCCTCAGTGTGAAGATGGTTGAGACATGCTGTAGATATGCCTTCACAAAGCTGCTGGGTGGAACACCAGCCCCGCCTTCCCCTTCCTTCATCACTCGCCTGCTTTCAGATGCTCGCACTTCGCGCCTATGTGGACGAGTTCGAGGCTGTGAGTGGCAGATATGCCAAGAAGACCACTTGGCAGTTGGAAAGGGAGCCTGAGCGGGGTTTGCTGGGATTTTAGCCCCACCAAACAGACGCAGCCACGCATCGGATTCGGATTCAGGATGGGGTTGCGAGCTTTGAGTGTTTCGAGAGTTTGCATCCACCGCCAGCTCAGCCAGCAATTCCCCAGGGCGGAATAGTTGCAAGAGAGGTCGGGCGTAAACATCGTAGTCACCCGTAGGGCACCATCCACGCCTTGGACGCGTCCATGCTGCCGCGGGCCGCCAGCTCAGGGGGAGACACTTCTCAGCAAACCTTGCGATCGGTGCGATAGGGAATAAGAATTGGACTGACCCGTGCCTGGAGTCTCCATGATTTCATTATTTTAGGGGAATGACCCCATGTTTTGGAAGGGTCATGGAGACTCTGGGTATAAACCATCCAACTGGTGGTTTCCTCAAGGGGATTTTTGAGTTCATTCCCTCATTCCCTACTGAGCAGAAACAAGAAACCAAGGACGCTGATGCAGCATCCGAAAGGACCCCATTTGTTGGCTGACGGTAGTGAATGTTGGTTTGGGGGAATCGACCGTTTTCACATCCTCTTAAATGACATGCAAGGAATAATCTGGGTATATAACCACTATAAAGCCACTAAAGAAGGAGTGGAATTTGAAGTCGGTTGGACATTAACCGATTTGGGCCCAACCACCCACCTAGCCTCCACACCCAGCCTCCCACCCTAACCTCAACCCTAACCACCCACCAAACCTCCACCGAAACCTCCACCCGAACCACCCACCTAGCCTCCACACCTCCACCTAGCCTCCACACCTAACCTCCCACCTAGCCTCCACACCTTCCCTCCACCCTCACCACCCAGCCTCCACACCTAACCTGCACCCCAACCACCCACCTAGCCTCCACACCTATCCTCCACCCGAACCACCCACCCAGCCTCCACGCCGAACCTCCACCCAAACCACCCACCTACACCTAACCTCCACCCCAACCACCCACCTAGCCTCCACACCTTCCCTCCACCCCACCCACCTAGCCTCCACCTAACCTCCACCCTAACCTAGCCTCCACTCAACCACCCACCTAACCTCCACCCCAACCACCCACCTAGCCTCCACACCCTGACCTCCACCTAGCCACCCACCTCTTTGAGGGAAGCTGACTCGAGCCAAACTGCCGGCGGCTTGTCCGAGGACCCGGAGGAGCGCCTGGATCGCCTCTTCGAGCTTCAGAGCCACTGGCGGCCAGAAGCCCGGCGAATTTTCCATCTTGTTTGTTCCTTGCAACAACCAACAGGAAAAAACAACTCCCATGTGGCTGCTTGTTAGGGGGTAGTCAACCCACTTCTGGACCAAAAGCTGTTCAGGAACAGAGGGGGAAAAGGCGACTGGAGGCATGCTTAGGGTCTCCCAGGGTCGATTGCTGGCGGATAGCCTCGTATGATGGGTGTCCCATGGTGTCCCTTTGACTAAAAGCAACACAAAAACGGGTCATTCGGCTTTCGGCGCTCGGAAGGCCTGAGCGCCTTTGCAGCCTCCTGACACCCTCCTTGAAGGAGACGAAGGCGAGGCCGAAGCGCTTTAGATCTGATGTTTGCTGATTCTGTGGATATATATATATATATACATATATATATATGTTATCATATGTACATGTATAGTATCATGTATGTATATATATATATATGTTTGTATCATTATTATTGTTATATATATATATGTATTACCATATACGTGGTCATATGTATATGTATATGCATATTATGATACATAGCTACATATTATCATGTATTCATACTATATGTACTACCATATCTTTCTGTATATATATATATATTCACATACATATATATATATATATATGTCCTATGATATATCAATATAATTCTTCTTATTGTTGCTAGTAGTATATATATATATATTACCATAGAAATATGGTATTATACATATATGTATATATATACATATATATGTATATTATCACATATAGATATTATCAACCATGTGTGTATTATTGTCATATATCTATCACCCATATATGTGTCAACACAATTATATATATATATAGATTATTATATGTTTATATATTACTAGAGTTATTAGTGTTATTATTATTTATACACATACATTCATCCATATATGCACACATACACACATACATACATACCTGCATACCTACATGCATACGTTCACACATACATACTTACGTAAATACACACACATACATACATGCATACATGCATACATGCATACCTGCATACCTGCACACATGCATACTTGCATACATGCATACATGCATACATGCTACATACAAACATGCATGCAATCATACATACATACATACATACATACATACATACATACATACATACATACATACATACATACATACATACATACATACATACATACATACATACATGCACAACACACATACACACATACACACATACACCAGTACACACATACACACATGCACACCTACACACATACACCAGTACACACATACACACACAGACACACAGACACACATACATACATACATACATACATACATACATACATACATACATACATACACACACACACATACATACATACACACACATACATGCATGCATGCATGCATGCATGCATGGCCACATACATACATACGTACGTAAGTGCATACATACATACATACATACACACATACACACATACACACATGCATGCATGCATACATTCATGCATTCATACATACATACGTACACACGACATACATACGTACGTACACTACCATACATTACCATACAGTACCATACATTACCATGCATTACCATACATTACCACACATTACGATGCATCACCATACATTACCGCACACCATACACTGCCATACATTACCATACATTACCGTACATTACCATACAATACCATACATTACCATACATTGCCATACATTACCATGCATTACCATACATACACACATACATACATACATACATACACACATACCTTTGCACATTGATACATTCACATACATACATACATACATACATACATACATACATACATACATACAAACAAACACATACATACATACTTAAATAAATACATACATACATATATACATACAGACAAACACTCATACATACATGTTTGCATCCATTTGTGGATGCACACATGCATACATGACGTGTGTTTTCATTAAACAAATACATGTGTGGCCAATCGCTTCGAAATCAAGTTTACTGGTTCCTGTCTTCAGCCCCTTTGCTCAGGTGGAGGCGTGGTTGCTGAAGCGTGTGCGTCAGGCAGGTGGCGTTGCCCGGGGGCAAACAGGGAACCCCTCAAAAACTGGGAGGGTGGCCACTACCACCAGCCAGTTCGTGCACTGCGTACAGAGTAAAACGGCCACATGTTGGGGCTGTGCGGCTCTCTCTATGCAAATTGAAAAACACCTGCGACCACATGGGAATGCGCCGGAGGCGCCTGGCATCCAAAAGCGCCCTAGTTGCTCGCCTTACACAAATGGATGTGGAAGGGACAGGAAGGGGGGCAATTGAAAACAGGCGTCGTGACATGTTAGCTGATACGCTGCCCAACACTAGCGCCCAACACTTGACATTGTTGCGCAGCATGTGTGCTGGCGGCCAAGGCTTTTGTCGGAATTCAGGTCCGGCTAAGTTTCGCTTCCAAGCATTTTGCATAACATTGCCAAAGCCGCTTGGTGTTGGCCACTTTAGTAGGTGGCGTTGCCTAGCTTCTGGGTGGGCATTTTCGGGCCTTGATCAAGGCGCTGCTCACACCTTCCTTTGTATCCTTGACAGAGACAAGGTCACAAGCAATAAGATAGATAAACAATAAACTCCTGTGTTTAGGCCGTGTCTTGGGACGTTAGACCTTGGGAACTTCAGACCCTCAAGTTGAGGATGCAACATCTGCCAGGCCAAACGATTCTATTTGGAAGCCCGTGAGAGTTTGGCCACGGGGCATCTCCGAGTCACCACGCCTAAAAGCAACAGAAGATAGGGGCCCAAACCCTGAAAAGACTAGCGCGGTAAGCGCAGTGGGGAACGACGGCAAACTACTTGGCTACATCCCAGTCAAGCGTCGTATCCATTACCAATCTTTCAGCGCGATACAAGGCGGGTTTAGCGGACATGGCTGCGTGATCGCAAATATAGGACTTGGTCGTGAAGGGCTGACAAGGGCCTTGAACATCTGAAGAACTTGGCTTTGTGAGAGGCCCGCACCGTGGCCCGATTGCGACTCCACGCGCAGCAGCGCGGCGCGCCTGCTCACGCCCTGTGACTGCAGCGCCCATGGGGGGCCACGCGTTCCTCTAGCAGGCATCGCCGCGCTCCGAGCACGCCAGATCACAGCACGCGAATGCGATCGGGGCGCGCAGGCCGGCTTGGATTTCCAGCTGCGAGGTTGGCTCGCAATCCTCTCAGTGAGGGTTGCGTTTTCCGCGCTGCGTCCGTGCCATCAAGAGCCACGTCGCCGCGCAGCCTGTCGGAAGCCTCTTCCAAAATCACTACGTTGCTGTCAGTGCTTAGGCTCGGCCTCGCGAGTTGTTTTCACGAGCCGGCCTCGGCGAGGGTTCCAGGAAATCGCGCCAAGCTGCGATGGGCGGGCCGCTCAAAGAGGCACACGTGCTTAAAACAGCAGGTCTTCATTGAGTTGAATCCGGGGGAGGAGGTCAGAGCCGCAGCCTTAGGCAGCGCGTGCCTGGCACATAGGCTTTGGCTTCGCAGGGCTTCCTTGACTCCATTGAATCAGCTGCGTTAAGCATTTAACCCGCAGAAGTTATTGAACGCGGTTTGGTTGGTTTGGAATGTTTTGGGGCCAAGGGCAAAGTTGCCCAGCATGAAGAGAACTTGAGCTGCTGTCTGTTCAGTGCTTGGCTTTCAGTAACAGCTCCCGCCAGCTGCGGAGAGAGGGGGGCCGTGGTCCATGTAATTGACGAAACAGGGGAAGAGTGACTTACGCAGCCTGTCAGCCGCAGGACCCTGGGTTCGCAAGCGTGCGCCGCTAAGATGATGACCAAGAAGTTTGCGTGAGCCGCTGGGGAACTCGCAGCTGCGAGAGCGGCGCAGAAAAGTCACGTGCCCATCATAACCAGGGGGCAAGGGCGCGCAGACGCAAATCCGCTTAAATGTGCAGCTTTTTGTGATCAGCGAAGCCGCCATGACTAACCACGACTGATGTTTACCTGTCCAGTGTGATTCTGGATGCAAAGTCAGCCGTGCGACGACTGGCGCACGCCTTGTGGTTGCATTTTGCTGTTGTAATACGCCTGGGCTGTGCAACTCAGAGTTGTAATTCGTTATGGTTGCGATAGTCGCAGAAGGCATGCCGTGCAATTGGTGTGTGTAACAGTTTGCCCCGATGAGATCTGATGGCCGGACCAAACTGGATTTTGGTCGTGGTGCATGTTTGGCTGTTGGGAGCTGTTGGGCCATTCTTCGGCATCCCACCATTGCCTCCCAAATATTTGTGAAATTTAGATTATCACCCCAAGCCCAAACCAGGCCGCCAAAGAAACAATGTGCCGCTCGAGCTGCGACATTTTGCAGAAGGTATATTTCAGGAATAGATTGTGCTGAACAGCCCTCTCATAAGGTTGATCGAAAAATCGAGCAGATGTTGGTCCATTTGTCAGGTGGCTCACCTGGCGTTGGGCGCATGCCCGTGTCGCAAGTTTTGATCTACTTGGACAGAGCAAAACATTCGAGTTCCGCCCTGGAGACAACCACCATGCGCACACAGATGAGACTTAGAGCATGCAACACAAGGTAGTCATGATAGCAAAGCACACACACACAAACCGTGTTACACCAAATCTTCGGGACAGGGTTTTGACAAATTACACTACAACACCGAAGCAAACACACAACCGACCGACCGACCAACAAGGCCGCCTGCCCACCAACCCACCTATCTACCTACCTACCTGCCTACCTACCTACCTACCTACCTACCTACCTACCTACCTACTAGTCTAACCTTACCTACCGGAATGGATCCCAACCAAACTTTGCTCACCCAATTGGCCATACACAATGACTTTCCCAACCAACAAACTCATCAACCCAGACTCACAGCCACCCAGCCACCCAGCCAGCCACCCAGCCACCCAGCCACCCAGCCACCCAGCCACCCAGCCACCCAGCCCAGCCCCACACCCCAGCCACCCCCACGCCCACCCGCCAGCCACCTACACACGCAGAAATATCCTTGCCGCCCATTGCATTTGGCCGTGCAACCTGCTGCATGGAGGAGCTTCGCGAACTTGTGCGGCCGTGGCGCTTAGTGTCTTTTTTGGTTTCCTCGTTTTCCTTCTTTTGTTGTTTTTCTCGTTTTCCTGGGGAGTGTGGTTCGCCGACTTCCTGCAAGATCACATATTTTTGGGGGCCGTTCTTGCCACAAACAAACATGTAGTTGACATGGTTGACCGTTGCCAATGCACTCATCCCCACCCTGGTGACTGTCGCCATGACGAGGATGTTCCATTCTTTTGGCACATGAAGGCCCATCAAGGTTCCTTGCCCAGCCCTTGGTGGGGGATGAACCTTGTTTCAGGCCCTGGCAGGTTTTGGCTGCTGTGGTTGCATTGGGGATGGTCCGCTTGCATAGGCCAATCAGAGCAGAGTGGACGAATCAGAGCAGAGCTTGCCGAACCGGGGTAAAGTCATGGCTGGCCGAACCGGGGTTTTCAAAGCGACATGCAATTTTGAGGGTACCTGGAGTCTCCATGGCCCTTCAAATGACCCCATTATTTTGGGTAATGATTCGATTGTTGAAGGGTCATGGAGACTCCAGGTACCCCTTTTGAATTTTCCAGGGGGCAAGGTAACCCCCACACCCACAAAGCGCTCCGCATTTTCTATCCGAGGATGTCTTCAAAGACAAAGACCCTGGCCTTTGCGGAGAATGTGTGTGTGTGTTAATAGCCGCGTCTACCGCGAGTGGCCTAGAGGTGGCAGGAAGCACCGCTGAGGCCTTACCGCTTGCACTTGGACTTTTTGCGCCCTGAGAATGCGCTGCTCAGGCTGGACCCGTCGGTTTGTGTTTTCTCAAAAAGTCGATTCCACACGCACAAACATTTGTTTCTCCCCTGACTAACACAAAACTCATAGATCCTCATCCACACGCGTAAACATCTGTTTATCCCCTGACTATTATAACATTTGTTTATCCCCTGACTAACGCAAAACTCATAGATCATCCCATGTCATGTGTATTTGCAGCGGGGTAATTGAGCCTTTATTCCCCTTGACCAAACCCGGGGAAGTATACTCGCGCAAAACAGTGTCCGGCGTTCGGGGCTTGGCATGGATTCCAAGCAATCCACCACAAGGTGATTCAACTTGGGCTTGTTTTGTTGGTTTTCATCTCAGGATCTTACCGGCAGACGAGTATATGATCGGTAGGTGTTTTTGTTCGTGGAGCCCAGCTGCAAATCTCAAGCTTTCGGGATTTGACTTACATGGCCGTGTCCGATCCAACAGATCTAGCGGGCTGGAGGTACCCTTGGGAGGATGAAGCGGCGATGCCGCCTGCCGATCCGCCAAAACCGGCGGCCGCCCCAGACATGAGCGGAAAGCACCGACGTGGAACCTGGTGCCTGGACCATTTGGCAATGACCTTCTGGTGGATTTCAGGTTGGTGGGCAGGGTAGCCTCAAAGATATCCTCGGATTTCTGTTCTGTCTGAAAAAACTTGTGTTCGAGCTCAAGGTAGATGGATGAAGCAGAATCTGGACAACTCCGGGCCCATGAAGGCAAAACGGCCCCAACTTTTTGCGCCGGCGCGGTTTGTTCAGTCTCAGAGGGGGCAGTGGGCTACCTCAATGAGCAGCTCCGGGCCCAGGCTATGGCGAGCTGCTTCGCTGGGGGGAGGTCAGTTGGCCACCAACATGTGACTTGTGGGTTCTTTGAGGGCACCCCTTTTGCGGTCTATTGTAAAGGGAAACCAACAGGAACAACAGGGTCGCCCCATTTGGATAATTCAGCCTCATGGAGTCCAGCGATCTCTTTTGAAACTAAGTTTAAGGTTCACATGGGTCACTCTTACCATGGACCACAATCAAAGGTGTGTCTTTTGCATGTTTGGAGGTTGCGCACCTCCGTGCAAGCTTTTGTGTTTTGAGAAGCCAGGGCCACTTGCTCGGGGTTACCCATTTCAGGCACCCAAAGGTTCGCACGGATATGGGTGAGCGTTTCTTTTTGTTTTCTTCTTCGGAACCCCAAAATGGCTTGGGTTCCTTCTAAGTTTCCCAAAGGAAAACCTGCCTGACACAGAGAAACCCTGCCTTATGGGTCCAAGTACTTTCTAAGGATGTAGAATTAGAACAAATATTTGTCACAAATCCCAACTTACAAGTTTGACTTTAGCAAGGGACGCCACGAACCATGTCAACCACATCCTCACGAGGCACGTGGGCCCTTGGCGCGCGGTTTGAATTCCATGTTCGAAGTACCTGGTTCTACTATATGTCTGGTTTCATAGCGATTACATTCGGGCAACATGTTAGCTGAACCACATGATGGCGGAGCTTTGATTGGGGGTGCCTAATTTCAGGTGATTCAATCATGGTGCTTTGTTCAGGTCGGTAAGCTCATTTGTTTTAGCAGCAATCGCGTTGAGCATTGTTCTGCCGCCGTTTCCCCTTTGGTTGGCACCTTGGGTGAGTGTTTGCTATGTGGAACTTCTTGTCCAAGAATGACATGTGACCAATTTTGTTGTGTCTGACTTTCAATTGTACTGCCTTCTAGCAACACGGCCTTCGGAAGGGCTTGGGAATGTGTGTGTGTGTATATATTTTAGTTCAATGATGGCGCCTCGCAATATTGCGGGTTTCGCTGGAAGTATCGGAGCCCTTTCAATTTAGGCAACCTCTGTTTCCTCTAAAGATAGAGGAGGTGGCAATGTCATTCGCGCGCTCTGCACTCTCAGGCTCCAGTCAAAGGCGGGACGGGGCCGGCAGGGGGACTGGGGGATCGAGGGCTATCCCAAGCTCGGTGCTAAATCTATTTTTTTGTTATGACCAAGAGCAATTTCGGATCAATATTTAACTCATACGCGGTATGGTCACAAGATACAATAGCTGAAGATCCGTTTTGGAGGCACGTGGACGCTCCTTGTTTTTTCACATCAAATCCGGTCTTGTTAACTTACCCATGTCCATGGCTACATCAACCACGAGCAGAGGGATCATTATTGCAGGCGTGAACACGAGCCCAAAAGGCTCGGTAGGTGTTTGTTGAATATGAATATGCACACGTGTATATACATATATACACATGTAATTGAGTCATTATGAATACTGCTTTCCGTGGGTATACCACTACAAACAACGTGAGTGTTGTTGATTGGTCGACTATAAAATGAAGCTCATGCTGTTTGACCATCTAGCGTATTGTGCAGCGATACAACTTCAATATGAGCAGCACAATAAATTATGTGTGTTATAGTTTGACTGGACATGACTGCCGATATTAGCCTGAACATGACACTAGATTATGAATGGATGTGTTACATGATTACATTCTGTATGTGTTCTGTTTGATTGGATGATCTAGCATGAGGCAATACCGAAGCTAATGTTGCAGCAGACATTATTCAAATGAAAACACAATGTATCCGTAGGCGACAGCAGCCAAACACAGGCATAGATCAATCTATAGATGCATTCGAATCGAAGAGGACCCTGGCTTCTAGATCTGTCCTATGGTTGGGGGTTACCCCCAATCCCAGGGGCTAACAAATAAGGCTTCGGTTCTTGTCTCCAATTCCTCTGGTTGGCTCGGTGTGGTTGCTTGTTGGGCTCAAGATTCCATTTTGGGGCGGGCCCCGAAGCACCTTGGAGTCCGACAAACGCAGAGGTGAGGGACTTGCTCGTGGATTCCTTTGCAAACGTCCGGCCCTTGTTCGGTGAGAGGCAAACCTCGCCCCAAGCCAGCCCAGAATCCCAGAAAGCTTGCGGAACTATAACCTCACATGCTTTCCAAAAAGGAAATAAACAATTGGATGTGCCCCTCCCCCAAAAAAACTGGAGAAAAAAGGACAACAAGCTTTCTTTTGCTGTAGGTTTCCCTTTAAACCCACAAAATGGCGTACCCTACGGCTCTAAATGTCTGTCTGATTTCAGGTTACCTATATTTCCCTCTGCTCATTTCAGGGTTCCCCCATTCCCTTGGCCTTCAATATCTGGGCGATTTTTGCATTGGGCTCCTCTTTGGTTTGATGTTCAAAGCGGATTGGTAACACAGGCCGCTTAGCCACTTTTTTGTGAAAGTTCCGAGAGGTCAACCTTTTTAACGACGCTTTTGGGGAAGACGGTGTTCGGGACGCTGGATGGCCCCTTCTTGCCGTTGATGAGCTGGAACAGGGGGCGCCCCATTCTAAAGGGGGACTCACTGGAACATCCAAGTCTACCAGTTTCACTCATGGGACTGAAGGATCAGAAGGCATGAATGCCGCTCGCAATGCCGTAGCTCCAGCCCGCATGCGGGAATGGTCAAGACATTGTGCTTCGTTCACCTGCCTGTTCAAGTTTGGTAGTCTGGTTGACCACTCATGAATCAGGGGGCTCATCTGTAAGTCCAGGTTTGTCGGCCTGTCGCAAGCTCAGAAGGAACCCTCGGAAGGAACCCAAGGGGTTTTTTGGGAGCCCAGGAACTCCGAATCGGTTTCGCTGGCTGGAGATGAATCCCTTTTCATGGATTCCTTGCCCAAAGAATGGCAAGGACCCAAATTGGATGACAATCCCTTTTTGCCAAAAACAGGAACCCATGGGTTTGAATGATTTTGATCTGAACCCCGGGGAAAAGAACTTCCTCTGAACATAGGCGGGGCAGGGCCCCGGGGCCAACTGACGTGTTTCAGCTGCACCTTTCGGTCTCACGGCATCGCAACTCACCCGTCTGAGGCACGCGAGCCAAGCCCAAGCCGGCGGCTCGTCGGAGTTAGGCGAAAGGCCTCATGGAGAAGCCCTGGGGCCCTGGGGCACAAGATCACGGGTCAAACACTTGGGCACCTGTTGGGGGATCCCATCGAAAGTGTGAGCTGTGTTTGGTGGGGTGGGGGGAAAAGGGGGGGTTGGCTAGGAGCGCTTGAGTGGTAAACAACACGTTTAGGCTTGCTTTTGACCATCCGCTCAAGACATGAGTGCATCGTCAGGGTTTGCTTCGAGCCTCAATGGCCACACCACAAGAATAAACAATGGCTTGGTGTTATTTTGTTTCGCTTCTCCCGTGAGTTGTCTTAATGTGCCTGCGCCAATCAGGTATTCGGTTGGAAATCAACCCTAGGGTTGAGTTCCTAAAGGGTTGAATTCCATGACCCGATGGGGCGAGGCGTACTGCCACATGACGATGTGTGAATTGCAAGGCTCCGTCTGGGAGTAGTTTTAACAAATGCCGCAACACAAGCAAGTGAGTTTTCAGAACAGGTTTCAATTCCTTAAATATATTCTGCAGCATATCGGTGGCCCAAAAGAAGAACATTGTTTCATCTAATATGTATGTGTATTAATGTTTGTCTGGTTACTTAGATATAGCCTTACACATAGAAACATCATTTCAACTGGCCCCCGTTTCACCGGGGCAAGCCTGGATTCCTCTAAGACTCTATGGCTTGGGCAACACCCCATCCAAGGTGAACCACAAGGAGGTGTTTGCCCCAACCCTGGCTCCAAAGCCATACGGATGTGGCTCAACGTTGGGCTGACCCAAACCTTCCGAGCGTCTCAGGCATCCGGGCTAGGGCCTCGGGGATGGGTTTCCGAGGGTTGGGTGGAAGGGTGGGGGGTGAGAGAACTCGATGTGGGTGTGGCTCAAAATTCAAAAGCTAGGGTTACGCAGGTTTTAGTCTTTGGTTCCATTTACCAAGGTGCCATTTTGGTACATTTTTGCGAGCCACAGCCATGTGAAGTTTGTACGTTGCTTCTTGCTGATTGTAGAGATTGGAGCTAGAAGGATGCTGGAAGCTGGGTTAGTGGTTTCTGTGTCCATGTTGAACCAGACTTGGATCTTGCTTCGTACTCACTAATTCAGACATTTGATCTACAAAGATCCCGGCTGGATGATGTTGAGGCATATTCAAAGGCTGAGGGTTTGATCATAGTTGAAGCTTGGACTTCAGGATGATCAAGGGCGGTTTTGCCATGTACCCACCATCAATACAAGGCTATCCCACATATATATATATATACCTGAATCTTCAGGTGTGCCTTTTTCCCGCCGTTTGCTGAAAAAGCACAAATTTCCGTCCTTTGGCCGCAAATACGCTTTTTCACTGCAAACGTGCCGTTTCAAGTTTGGCTGAACACATGGTCGGGGAAAGTCGCCGTTTGGTCGGGTATTGTCGCCGTTTGGTCGGGTATTGTCGCCGTTTCGCCTTCGTGGATTTGTCCCAGAAGAGCAACAAAGTGAAAAGTGCCTGGAGACACAAAAAAGTGTTGTTTGTCTGAAAAAGCAGCTTTTCACGAAAAGGCATGAAAAATACACGCTTGGGAAGATCCAGGTATATATGTATATATATATATATATATGTACACTATGTGTATCTACATCTCTCTCTATACATAAATATGTATATACATATATATATATATAAATAGCCTCGTATAGTTTATATGGCTAGGAAGTTGACACCAGGTTCGTGAGCAATCAATCCGCCAGCCAAGTTGTGAGCTCTGACCCGCACATGGATCATGCCGTTGACCAGAACCTTCGTAGTTAACACAGAGATTTATCGTTTTTTGTTTTTTTTTTTTTGTGTTTGCAGCGTTAGAATTGTGGTATATGTTGCTGGCAACTAAAGGGACAACACGCCATTATGTTCATAGAACGTATACCATGTTGTACGAAACGGTATGTGCAACAGTTAACCATTGCGGGTTATTCCAGTTCTTCCAAAAATGGATGAATACTTCAAATGAACCAACATACTCAGTCCAGACATGTCAATTGGTTATGGGGTGCGCAGCAAGTCCTGACCTCAAAGTCACCTGGTCGTGTGTCCCCACTTGGGGGGCTAAGTGACACGGCCTAGTGGAGCCCTTAAACAGTGGCAATGCCACGAGCAACAAGCCATGTTACCTTGCTGTTTGCGAAATGCAGCGCAAAACCTTGGCTCTCCCCTTTCTATTTGCTCTTGGAGTTTTCTTGTCCTTCAAATCAACGACCAGGGCAGCTTGTGCCTCAGCTCGGTTCGAGCCTTCGTCCCGTCTCGCTTGAGGTCGCGGGCAAATTCGAAAGCCAAGAAGGCCGGAGACGTGGGAATTGTGCGGGCACTTGTCCCAGTGGATCCCAGTTGCAACCACTACGTACATATATATATATATGTATATATATATATACGCACTATATGTATACATATATATATATAGATATGTATGTATATATATATATAGTAGTAGGTAACAAGCCATTGCCCTTTGAGTTCTCAAAGGGCTGTTCTCTTGGCCTACCATATTACAAACAGATGGAATCACGTGTTTCCTGTTGGTGATCCTTATTCAGTTCGGATTTCCGTCCCACCCAGGGACGATAGAGGTTATAGGTACTTGGTTGAAGTGAGAACATCGGCAGCCCACTGGTGACCGAACAGTTCAATGACAAAAGACACGACACACAATTCGGCATGGTATCAGAGATGGCGTTCAAGATGATGCGTCTCAACGCCCTGCGGTGCATGGTGGTATAGACCAGACATGAGAGATCTGTTGCTGGATGAAGTAAGACTGTTCGGACTCCACTGGGGACGTTGGTGTTTGTTTCCCACATCACATCACGGAACACAGAGCTGTGCTTACGCGCCGGTGTTTGGAAGAGTTGTTGCTTGCTTTCGAAGTTTCTGAACTTGCAACAAGTTCGGAAAGCTCCTAGTGGTAAATAGACAGTTCAGATATGTGTTGCTGAGAAGCATCTGGGAGCAAGACTATGTGTGTGCCGGTTGCCAGTTGTTTAGTAGCACCCTTGTTCCCTTTTTGTTGGCTAGGTTTCCCGCTCTTTAAGAACAACTCCCCCGGACACTGGTGTTTTTGTTACCAGGGTCGCTGGGCAACTTGAGTCGACGGGACAAGGCATATGCCTGTACGCAGAAAGACCGTGTTCAGTGTTCTTCGGATGCAATTTGAAAGACTGAACACACCCAGGTCAACTCCTGAGTGAAAACGAGTAAACTAGTCGAAAGAGTGGACGGGTTGCGAGTGGAACTGGAATGTCCTAAAGGGGCCAAACAAGTGGACTACAAGTAAGGGAGCCGAGCAAGTGAAACGTGAAGACAGGTCACAACTGTGGATCAAGTGACTTTGGACTACTCTCAAGTGGGCTAATTGCATCTTGCCGGACAAGTCACTAAGTCCCTTTGAAGTGTGCGGTTTGCGCAGAGGCGGCTTGGCCATTTGGTGGGCAACCTGCTACTTAGCTGCCTTCTTTTCAGCAAGTCTTGCTCCTCAGACTTGAAGTCTTTGCACTGAAATTAGAGGACTTACTGACAAAGGCATCATTTTGAAAGCTTTGTTTGGACACTGGGACACTTCCCCTGTGATTCTTTGTGGCGCAACGAGTCCGTGGATGACTGTGTGGGCGGAATAAGAGGCTGCTACAAGTGCCAAACAGTTGGAATGGGTTAGTGTGGTAGCTAAACCAAATTTCGCCACACCTTTTCTCTGAGAATTTGCGTAATGGTTTAGCCTTTGTTATGTCACCTCGAAGGTCAAGCACATGCAAACTGTCTAGGGTGACTTCCGAGTTCTTTCGGGGGGGGGGCAGGGAACACAGCCTTTTGTTTGTTTTAATCACGATGGTTGGGAAGAATGCAGCATGAATCTCGCATTAGAAAAAACAAATCCATGGCTCGGAACTAGGTTTGGTTAGGTTAGGCTTTTGTGGGCGATATTCGGGCCTTCCAGGTGTCCAACTGGGACCTGCCTCCGCGCCTTGGCATAAGCACGAGTTCAATTCGTAGGGTTTGCCCAAGCCCCCGCTCTTGGGGAAAGGGGTGGAGGGTGTTTGCCTGGAGTCTCCATGACCCTTCAAACATGAGGTCATGGACCCATTTTTTAAGGGCCATGGAGACTCCAGCGCACCTTTTCGTGCGGTTTCAAGAACCAATCTGAGAGGTTTTACCATTTGGAGACAAGCCCAAAGGGAGCTAGAAGTGTAGAAGCCCTGTTGGGGGCGGCTCCCACTCCCGGCCCTCAAGGTCCATGAAAGTGAGCAAGTTTTGGCGGCCGCGCAAGTCATGTGTATGTGCGGTATGTTCAATCGTGGCAATATCCGGTGATGCGCTGAATTCAGTGATAAGAACTTTGGTCGATATGTAGTTGGCGGTATTACAACATCCAACAATCCCCCCAACTATTAACGCATGTTTCTCACGTTCATGCCTGCGTTTTGGACCTGGGGTCATGGGAAAACAGCTGACATTGCGGGTGCTGAGGGGGGCTCGCAAAGATTGGCTTTAAGTGGCTGCATGTCCTTTGTGTCATGTTGGGAGATGATGAACCCAGAAAAGCCAGGGTCCCTGGTTGAGGAAATATGTCCTTGCACCCGCATGGGGCATGCAGCCTTATCATTTTCCCCGCCTTCCTTGGCGCCCAAGACGGCCCCGGCAACTCTTTGAAGCCATACACACACACAGTAGAGGCGCCGAAAGATGAAGTGTGCGTTCTGAGCTTGGAGTACAATACGCTTACCTGGATTCGCCTTCTGACCCTTCAAAATGCGGTCATTGGCAAAAATAATGGGGGCATGGACCCATGTTTGAAGGGTCATGGAGACTCCAGGTACCAGTTTGAGAACGTTTTTACAAGAAGCATAAGCGCAACTTGAACCAATCCGAATATCGGTTCGCAGGCAATCCAGTTCAGGCTTAAGTCTAGGGATGACTGACTTGCAGTTGCAGGATTCATGTTGGCCAATGTTGGCCAGAATCTGGATGCTTGAAGGGGAGTTTGGCCTTTCGCATTTGTCAACATGAGAGTGGCCTTGTCGTTGCAAGCTTGGTGTTTTTCAGTCTTCATGGACCAGACAAAGACTCAGTTGCCCAAAGCGAATCGACCCTGTGACCTTTTGTTTTGTGCATTCTGTCACCCCAGAAACAAAACAAAACAACATGGACACCTTTTACCCCAAAAGGACAACACAAAATGGACCATATTCCGTCACCAAGGGGTGACCACCTTTGGTTTCCAGGTCCTTCGGACTGAGTCTCATGACGGCCGGGTGACCCTTAGCCAGAATTCCCTAGGCCACAGGAGGGCAAGGGCGCTCAAAGCCATGGTGCTTCCCCAACGCCGCGTTGATTTGAGAATGGGCCCATCAACTACAAATACATATATATATATATATGATTCTATTGATATGTGTATGTAAACATGCATAAGTATTATGTATTGTCATACGTACATTCATACATCTCCCATGCTCAACACACCCTTTGCTTGTCGGTAGGAGTGGGCATCAGCGACTTTATCCGATGCTGTGCGACTTCCAGCGTTTGAAAGATCGTCGCGCAAAATCAGCTACCATACGTTTACCAAGCTTGCCGTGGTCAGAGATGAAACCCAGTTGAAACCAACACTTAACTAACCCAAAACACACCCTAAATCCAACCTTGAAGAAACCCTAGGCCCTAAACCAATGGTTAACCCCAAACCAGGCCTAGGCATACTTTCGGCCAGGCAGAGATTCGAATTCGTGGAGGAGAAGCAGATCCAGGCCAGGGTATGTTGAAGCAGTTCATTTATTCTCAGCTCAGCTCTTTTTTTCTGTAGCCCCACAGCGTGACGGTCATCAGCACAACGGCATCTTTGATTCGGGCTGGGTTGATCCCAAGGCCCCCTACTCCAAAGACCCGTGCTTTTTTCTGGATGCATGTTGAAAGGCAATTTTCCACAGGAAGTGTCTCCTGGTTTAGTCAGGGGCTGAGATCATTTAGTAGAGTGACTGAGTTGAGATGAGTTGAGTTAGGGTGAAGTGAGTGAGGTGACTGAGGTCCGCGAGGTGAGTGAGGTGAGTGAGGTGACACAGGTGAGTAAGTCAGTGAGCAAAAGGCGCAGATGATGTTGGAACATTGTGCGGTGGTACCGTACCGCTTAAAGCGGCTTCATGTTGAGGGCACCCCTCAAAATCACTTTTGGGACACAGTGGGTCTTCTTGTTTTTGTTTTGTTAAGGGTCCCCTTCAGTTTGTTGGTTTCAATTTGGCGTTGCGTCAAAACCATACCAGTCAAAAGGGGGACCTCGTCTGGAGAAGATTCTATTTAGCTGCAATGGCTGTGCGAGGTTGGTGACTGGCGGGGCGTCGAGCAGTCAGGCCACGTTCAGAAGCCCAAAGCGGCAGAAGACGGGGCCCAAGACGATGGTCTGTTTTCGCCGGGGGGGGGGCTTTGTGCACATGCCCCCTTAAGCCTAGGCAAGCCCACTTCCGCAAGTGTTGGAACTGGAAAGGCATGATGAAGTTCATGAGGTTTCAACGTTCTCCATAACTTCATGCAAGGTATTCAGGCGCGTATCCGGTATCTTTTTGCAAAAATGACCATGGACGGGAATAGAATCCGTTTCAGGAGAGTGAATTTGCCCAGTTGCCAAATCGTCACATCCAGTTAAATGGGCAGCTCAAGCCGAGTCCCAAGAAGGTCACGTAGGTTGTGGTTTGGTTCCTACCTGTTGTGATGGGGCTATATAGAATAGCCTAATGTTGGCTCCTGGTTGCGAAACTGGTTCCAGTGTTGGGGCACTCCAAAAGTGATGACTCCCCACAAAAACTGGACACCCCCCATTAATCATGTATTAGTCTAGTGTCAACATTACATAAATTGTAGCCTTGTATCACTGTGATGGTAGAACTAACAGTCAGTAGGTTTGGCATACCGCTCAAATAGTGTCATTGAGTGGGTTGGTCGTGGGGCGTGTGTGTTGAGCGTATATACTCGTACCCATCATTGGTGGGGGGTGCCTTACATGCCGTGCAGCCAATGAGTAAAGTGAGCCAGGGTGTGTCCACCCCCCAAGCCAATTCCCATGAGAAGTGAGGGCTTGTGATCTCTGTGTGGTGGGGTTGTGTTTGTTTGTCTTTTTGGCGGCTTGTTTAAAGGGACGATATCACACTTGTGGTGGGTCCCCCTATTTTGACACATCCTATGGGGTGGAAAGGAAATGAAACCTTTCCTGCGCCCTAGGTGCTGGGTTTATTTTTTTTAGGGAAATCCTCCGAAATGGTCGGTTTTCCTCTTGGTTTCCCTTTGAACCCCCACAAAAGCAGGTACACCCCAAACATAAGGAGAACAAAGGCAGGCCGATTAATCACTAGTATTTTGCTGCTCATGTGTAAGGAGGAAATCCAGTGGTAGATCCGGCATCCCCATTTGAGGCCTGCCATTTCTATCGCCTCCCTGCGCTGGTACCATCGGTGCAGAGCATCTCCAAGTGCCAAGAAGCGGTTGGTTGAGCAAGGCTCCCTATACTGTATTTCCTTTGGTGCATGTTGCTTGGATGTTAGGACTTTAACTTTTTGCCAACTAATGGGTTTTCCAATTAAACCACTAAAAGCAGAAAGCAACCGAGTTTCCCTTTTGTCAAACGGTTGTCAGGTGCCCCCCAAAGAGGGGACCACCCCCTTTAACAGAAGCTCCGGAGAGGGTGGCCGGTGCCGCGTGGGTTGCTGAGAATGAATTCAGTGCACTTGCAAACGGGCATTGACCTGTTCTGGAGTTTCTTGCGAAGATCGATTTGGCTTGATGCACACTGACAAGCCCGCTGGAAGTGGATGTTCATAAGTCGATCCGATCGGACCTTGGGATAAATCTCGCAGCGGTAGCGCTGCCACTGTTTCTTGTTACCTTTAAGCATGGTGTTCCTTTCTGCAGTGTAGTGGGAGACGTGTCCGTGTAACGTGACTTGTCACAGGCTCATGGCTAAAGGTCTGTCGCGGTTCTTAAGGGTTTGCTTAGGACGGCCAGGACTTTGAAGCTTCGAGGTTTCTCTTTGAATCCTCAGAGAACGAACTCCCAACCCGAGCACTCCAAGCAGGTAATATCGTACTCTTTCCGGTTATAAAACACCAAAGATGCCTTCCGAGACGGAAGGCCTTTGATGGCATAAGCAAAACTTGAATGGCAGCTCTCTGCCGGGTGCTTGCCCCTTGTGCCAATGTCGAGCAACTGGCAAGACCAAGATCCGGCACAAAACCGACAAGCTTGGTTTCCTGTGTCACATGGTCAATCGGCGAGCTAACACGGGAGAGGGGAGGAACTCGAATAGCGAGCAAGGTTTCCTTTGCATGGAATTGCTATGAATGCTGCATGTTTGTTCAGGAACGGAGCACAGATTTGATGTTCACCTGTTGGTTGACCAACATCACACCTCCCGCCCCTGTTTGTGTTCTTCTCATGTTCAACAACCCTTGATCTAGTGCATGTTGGACGGCGGGCCATTGAGTTTGTGGGACATCCGGTTTCACTTTGCCGCGTTCCTGGAATCCCCAACGAGAAAGTTTTCATGGTTGGATGGGAGTCAACCACAAGGGGCATCGGTATTCAACAAACCCGCATTGAGCCTTTCCTTCAAGAAGGGTACCTGTAACCCAACTGCTCGAATCAAAGGGCAGCAAACCCTTTTCAGGCTCACAATTGAAAGTGTTCCACTGATTCTTTGGGACGGAAACAGGGCCCAGCCTGCTAGCAGCTGCTAGGTACCTGCTGCAGAACCCGGACCTCTTCTCCACTGAGCTGGATTCGGTGGACAAGACCCCCACCTTCGAGTTCTACCCGCTACTGTGAACCAAAAAGGAAGGCTAATATTGGTGGGAATGCGGTTAGCAACCATTGCTCCAGGAAAAGAAGAAGCAAGCATAAGAAGGTAATTTGTGCGAGTGGGAAGAAGCTTTACCAATCCTTGTGTTTTGGAGCCCGCAGGGTCGATGCGTGCATGTCCCGCGCGTGTCCATAAAGACACTGTCTTTGTGTTTCTTGCGTACTGCTTGGCTTCTTTTTTAGAACCCGACAGGGGGCCGGCCCCCTACAAAGAGACCGGTGCTTGAAATGAGTGATTTTGGGTTTGCTGTCAATCTGCAGAAAAACATGTTATTTTGTCAAGTTGCAACCCATGCCGGGGTTCCAGATAGGGAAGCCAGGATCCCATGTTGAGGAACGAGACTGGGTCCTTTGACCAGGCTGCGAAGCAATTCGAATTTTGCTGAACGAGTCAACCAATCCAACCCCCCAGTCACTTTTTTAAGCCATTTGACCTGCAGAGCCATGTTCAGACCCAGGTCCCAAATCATCCCTGAAGTGGTTCGTTGCAAGGCGACGACTGAGCCTGGTGGTTCCCAGCCAAACCCAGGTTTTTAGGCTTTTGATTGGCTTAGGTTTAGGGTTTCCATTTAATCCACGAAAAGTTAGTCACTTTTAGCATGGGATCAGAAAAAGGACAGCCCAGTAGATTGGAGCTTCTTTGTTCAGATGGGTTTTGTTGGCTTAGTCTCTGGGGCACTGATTCTGCGATACACACTGTGCCCAACAACAAACGGGCATTACTTCGCTATTTTTTGATTATTTCTAGTTCTTTGTGGGTTTGTGTCTTTGTTTGTGTGTTTGTTTGTGTGGTTGCTTGTTTGCTTGTTTGCTTGTTTGCTTGTTTGCTTGATTGGTTGGTTGGTGTTGGTGTTCGTGTGTACTCTTGATTGATTGGTTGGTTGATTGATTGATTGATTGATTGATTGATTGATTGATTGATTGACTGTTCTTGGTTTGCTTCCTTGCTTGACGGATTGCTTGCTATTTTGTGTGTGTCCCTTGTGCTTAATTCAGTTGCTTGCTTGCTTGCTTGGTTGCTTGATTGTTTGCGTGCTTGCTCGATAGTTTTGTTGTTGTTATTTGTGTGTTGTTTGTTGGTTGGTTGGTTGGTTAACTGGCTCGCCGGCTGGCTGGCTGGCTGGCTGGTTGGTTTGCAGGTGTTTGTTTGTTTGCTTGTCAGTTTGCTTCTTTGCTATGGTGTGTGTGTGTGTGTGTTTGTGTGTGTTTATCTATTGGTGTGGTTGTTTGTTTGTTTTGTTCGTTTGTTTGTTTGGTTGGTTGGTTGGTTGGCTGGTTGGTTGGTTTTTTGGTTGGTTGGTTGGTTGGTTGGTTGGTTGGTTGGTTGGTTGGTTGGTTGGTTGGTCGGTTGGTTGGTTGGTTGGTTTGTTGCTTTCTTTCTTGCTTGCTTGTTTGTTTCTTTCTTTCTTTCTTTCTTTCTTTGTTCAATTGTTTGTTGTGTTTGTGTTCTTGTTTGCTTGTTTGGTTCGTTGGTTGGTGGGTTGATTGGGTGCTTTTTGTGTTCTTTTTGCTTGTGCGTTCTCAGTCCACATGTGAGGTTTCGAGATGGAGAATGGATCGATCAGGGTATGAGGCGGGCTCGCAGACAGGTGGCGCGGTTTCTGTCGACTACTGTGTGTTTTGACATTACATTTTTCTACAATGGAGACACATGGTTAACAACACCCGCCTGCAAGGTCGAGAAGGTGCCGGAAATCATCAATTTGCAGGGTTCCCCTCACCCCCTCGGGTGAATCCGGACCTGGCCAGTCCTCTTCGGAGCTTTCCGGTGCGGTCCTTGTCTGGCCAATAGGACTGCAATGGGAAAGAAAAAGGACATTGTTTGTTTATTCTCCAGGGCTTGAGTTTGCCAGGATTTATCAGAGAGGGTTTTGTGGTATACCCTTTACGAGCTTGACAAACCTTTTTTATATGTTTGTTATTTTGAACAAGTTGCTGTCCTCGTTTAGCCGTTTTATTTTCTTCAATTATTATTTCTGGAACGGCAACCCGTCAGACTATGAAAGGACTTTCGTTAGTTCACATTACGTTTTCTGGTATTTGTGGGATTTTGGGCCGGAAAGGGACGTCGTTAACCAGAACAGGGCCCTGGGAAGTGCCAACAAATTATTCAGAGAAGTCGTTTGGCCAAACCTTGTGGGTGCCTTTGAAAAATTAGCGTCTTTAGTCAGAGGGGCTTTTTAATCATGTGCCGACATAGGAAACCTTGACTCTGGCAACCAAATCGGAGCTTTTGACCATGGCACACGATCACAGGTTCTTGCGGGAATCCTGGCAAGGACAAACGACACATGAACTGGCAACTTCCAATCGGAGCTGTTGACCCGTGTTTTGGCTTTCAGTATTGGCAATCAGTCATATCCCAGTAGGTGATGACAATGTTCCGGGATCCGTCGCATCTGATTCAATCATAAGTCCTGGTACTTTCAACGGGCTTTGTGACTTGTGCATGCACATTCCATCTTTCTCGGGGCTGGCGGGCGTAGCAAACAGACTGCATGATGTGTACGCATATATATATATATGTGTTAATACCCATACACACATACCATTATATATATATATATATACATATACATGTGTTTGCTACATATATATATATATATACACGTATATGTGTGTATGCTGAATAAATTCATGATATTTGCCTGCAACATGGACCCTATAAGGGGGTGCTCCAAACAGAGTAGCTCCCTCTGAGGCACCTCTTGGAGGAGATCCTGGACCGTGTCATGGTTTACGTCCGCCTCCGCAGGGTCGCCCGAACGCCGCTTTGAGGGCCAGCCATTGCCGCAGGGAGAAGAAGAAAATAAAAAACAAAAAAAAACGAGGAGGGGCATTTTGTCCGGGCCCATCAAATCAGTGACCCTTCGAAACTTCGGGGTCAGAGCCTTTGGTTATCTCCTCTTGCTATGGCTCTTAAGCATTAGCCGCCTCTGGTGATAAAGGGCCGGGATATTTTGCCTCAGATGGTGAGTTTTTAGGCCAAATTGAGGCAGCTTATGTTCCTCTTGGTACTGGCCCTTCACCTTTTGCTACGCAAACCAGGTTGGGACTGGAAGTAGTTCATGGTGCAAACAAAGGGTGCCCAGTAAATCTCATTCTCACCACCTCGTTAGCTTATGAGTTTAGCCTTCCTTTTCTGGGCGGCTAGAACTACCGCCCATTCTCCCCAAAATACAAGGGGCAGTACACCTCAATCCCACCAAATTCGATTTGTCGAACTTCTTGTTTCACAGTAGGAGGGTAGAACTCGAAGCTGGGGGCGACTCCGGGTGGGTCAAGCCGTGGCTCTGCAGGTACCGAGCAGAGTTGTTGATCAGAGGGGTTTGCTAAGCTGGCCACACCCCCCTTTTCTTGACTGCTATTGGGTTGGATCTTTTTAGACTTTGACTGTTTGGGAAAAATCCAGGGTTTTCCATTGAATCCACCAATAGTTAAACTTTTTCGCACAGGGGTCAACAGCAACCGAGGTTTTTGGAAGGACAGTGAACCCTTTGCAGCTGTCAAGCTCAATTGCAACCTGATCCCGGGTGGGCGACGAAGGTTCCGTTGCGGTCACCAACTTGAGGCGATTTCGGGGCTCAGTTTTATTCATTCAATGGGAGCACGGTCCACCATGGTCGGTGGACCAAGCCATTCACACTTAAAAGTCCCGCTGCTTGTTGTTATACATGGTTCAAAATGGAGCAACCTTTTCTTTGGGTTTCTGTTTGGTTTTCCCTGGGGACAACACAAAAAGGGTAGCGTCAACTAAAGGACAGCCATAAATGGAGCCCCCTTGTTGGATAAGTTTGAAGTGAAACCGTGAAGCGGTCCCTGTTGACGAACAGTTGCTTTTTCTTGGATGTGTCACCGTCAGTTTGCTCTGTTTCACGGTGATGTGCAGTCCCAATCCTCAAGTTAAGGTTCTGGTCGCTTGCGGCAGAGCACGATGTGCGAAAATGTGCGCGTAGCATGGGCTAGAATGTTAAATAGGGAGCCGCCTCAAAAGTGGGTTTCAACGTTTCGTCTTCTTCGCCTCAGGCTACGACGGCCGCTGTGCCGCCTCAGACATCTTGGTGCGCCGGGCCCCCAGCTCAGCCGGAGTCAAGACGCGAAGTCCTCGGGCGAACGATCAAGGAATCCTCGGCCGGCAACGGGTCCCTTGGCCGCCCAAAGGTCTGGTTATTCTCCGGGGTAAATCAAGAAGAAGCCCCATGTAGGAACTTTCATATGCAGCGCGTGACTTCACCCTACTGACAAACGTCAGGCAGCGCCTTTCTTCAGACAAGACGCCAACCCACAGCTCGGGACTCGGGCCTCGCCGGCCTCGCGACTCGCCGAGGCCGGTATTTGCCCGGGGAGCGGCGCAGCCACGGGGTGCACTTCGATGGGCACGCGCTGGTGACGGCGGTGCTGGGCCTCACGGATCCCGAGACCTACCAGGCGATTCGAACTTGGCCGTTGCCAGGTTAGTCTGGCTTTCAGTGTTTTGGCCCGACAGTTGCTCACCTACGCAGGTTTTCACCAGTATGGGTCGTTCTCCTTCCAGATGAAACAACTCAAGTCGTGGGAAACAAGCCACAAACACCTGGATAGGGGACCTGCAACAGATGTAGCTGTATGCCAAAAAGGCTGTAGCTTCTAAGTTCAATCCAAAAGGAAGCCACGAACATGTGCCTTTGAGGCAATGGTTTCCCATTGTGTTCAGTTTGTTCAGCTATTTCACTAAAGGAAACCAAACGGGATCGTTTTTTCATTTTGTCCTGACCTTTTAGCACTACTGGGGGTGTGCCTTACGATAGGGGTCCGCAACCACGTGATGTTTAATTGTCCTTGGTTTCTCTTTGAAAGCGCCCCGAAACTGAAAGCAAGACACACCCATTTATGTACCCTCTTTCCGACAGTACTTCGAAATTGACAGGAGGGCCTTGAGAAGACGCTGTTTCAGAAAAGTCCCTTGTCGACGTCCATTAGTGGAAAGGGGCATCCGATTGTCCTCACCCGGGTGGCTCGCCTTTTATTTCAGAGCCTCAAACTGACAGTTCTTTTGTCTTCCCATGGTTTCCCTTCAAAACCACAAACACAAGCGGTGACCAGCCAGGGCGGGCTCTACGTCCAGCCGGGCCCGGACGTCACCTCACGGACCTACTTCCGGCTGGAGCCCGGGGACCTGCTGGCCGGAGGCCCCGGACCGAGAACCTCTCCGAATGGATGGCTCGTCTTTTTTGAGGTTGGGCCCCACAAAATGGCGCCACGGTGTTCCTGTGTCCATCGTGATTTACTAAAAAAAAGGAACTAGACCACGGTTGGCCCGAAAGCAGAACATCGCAAGCGAGGTCGGCCCAATGCTGCAGGATGCGTTCTTTTTCCCTACACGAAGCATTCGTGAAGCAAGCGCGAGACAGCACCAGGCAAGGTGCTCTGCGCAAACTGGTCGGTGCAAGTTGGTCTGCGCAAGTTGCTCTACGCAAGTTGCACTGTGCAAGTTGCTCTGCGCAAGTTGCTCCGCGCAAGTTGCTCCGGCAAGTTGGTCCCTGCAAGTGGCTCCCTGCAAGTTGCTCTGTGCAAATTGCGCTCCCTGCAAGTTGCTCTGTGCAAGCTGCTCTGTGCAAGTTGCTCTGTGCAAGTTGCTCTGCGTAAGTTGCTCTGCGCAAGTTGCTCTAGGCAAGGCGCTCTGCGCAAACTGGTCGGTGCAAGTTGGTCTGCGCAAGTTGCTCTGTGCAACTTGCTCTGCGCAAGTTGCTCTGCGCAAGTTGCATTAAAATGCAAGTTGCATCTTGCGACGCCCGCCCGCGGACCAGGGAGGAATCGAACCCGCGACCCGCCGGTTCCGGGAGCAGGCGCGCGAACCTCGAGTTTTTGCACCTCGACCACGCCGATCCCCGCAGAGGGTTGCGCGAGCAGGGCAGAAATCGCAAAAAACCTCGAGGCTTTGCACCTCGACCACGCCGATTCCCGCAGAGGGTTGCGCGAGCACCGTAGAAATCGCAAAAAACCTCGAGTTTTTGCACCTCGACCACGCCGATCCCCGCAGAGGGTTGCGCGAGCAGGCAGAAATCGCAAAAAACCTCGAGTTTTTGCACCTCGACCACGCCGATCCCCGCAGAGGGTTGCGCGAGCACCGCAGAAATCGCAAAAAACCTCGAGTTTTTGCACCTCGACCACGCCGATCCCCGCAGAGGGTTGCGCGAGCACCGCAGAAATCGCAAAAAACCTCGAGTTTTTGCACCTCGACCACGCCGATCCCCGCAGAGGGTCGCGCGAGCACCGCAGAAATCGCAAAAAACCATGGGTTTTTGCACCTCGACCACGATCCCCGCAGAGGGTCGATTTTCGTGTAGTGTCGTCGGCACTACCCCGCCGCCCTAAGAAGAGATTTTAACTCCTCGCAAGTCAATTGCACTTGACTCCTTGCACTTGCAACTTGCACTTGACTCCTTGCTTGTTTCAAGGAGTCATTGCAAGGAGTCATTGCAAGGAGTCATTGCAAGGAGTCATGGCAAGGAGTCATTGCAAGGAGTCATTGCAAGGAGTCATTGCAAGGAGTCATTGCAAGGAGTCATTGCAAGGAGTCATTGCAAGGAGTCATGAGAGCCATTGCAAGTTGCAAGGAGCCAAGTGCATGGAGTCAAGTGCAAGTCGCAAGTGCACGGAGTTAAGTGCAAGTTGCAAGTGCAAGGAGCCAAGTGCAAGGAGCAAGTGCAAGGAGTCAAGTGCAAGTTGCAAGTGCATGGAGTCAAGTGCAAGTTGCAAGTGCAAGGAGTCAAGTGCAAGTTGCAAGTGCAAGGAGTCAAGTGCAAGTTGCAATCCTTGCCATGACTCCTTGCAATGACTCCTTGCAATGACTCCTTGCAATGACTCCTTGCAATGACTCCTTGCAATGACTCCTTGCAATGACTCCTTGCAATGACTCCTTGCAATGACTCCTTGCAATGACTCCTTGCAATGACTCCTTGCAATGACAATGACTCCTTGCAATGACTCCTTGCAATGACTCCTTGCAATGACTCCTTGCAATGACTCCTTGCAATGACTCCTTGCAATGACTCCTTGCAATGACTCCTTGCAATGACTCCTTGCAATGACTCCTTGCAATGACTCCTTGCAATGACTCCTTGCAATGACTCCTTGCAATGACTTTCATGATGATGATTCCTTGCAATGACACCTTGTAATGACTCTCATGAGAACAGCTCAAGTGAACCCAGCGGAAGAACCCTTCGCCATGCTTTCGGGAAAAAAAGGAAAAGAAAATGGACCAGGGCTTTACGAGCAACCACAAGGGTACCCTCACTAACAAAACAACAACATACACACACCCAACTGGATTGGGCCTTGCTTTTGGTTGGCATTTAAATGGAAATCAGCAAGCCAATATGGTTTTGGACCCTGATGTTTGAGAAACGCCAATTGTAGATGGTTGCGAAATCCGTTTCGCAGCAGGGATGGATGAAGCCCGATGCACCATCTACCAACTGGTGCAGGATTTTGTCCATCCACAGCTTGTTCTCTCAATGGCTTTAAACAAGACTTGTTTGGCCCAAGGTGAGTTTGTTTATCGATGTGTCCCCTTCTGGTGGTTTGAGGCATCACCGGGGTAAATCTAGAGCGATCCTCGGGACCGTTGGGTTTGGATTGGGCAATGGACAGCCTTGATTGTAGCTGATTTCGCACTCCAAAGTATAGCCATTGAATCGGCAAGTTTCTTTTGACACTAGTTTAGGCTGGCCCAGCAAATTGTCCATTCTCAGAATTACCCCTGGAGTCTGCAGGACCCTTTAAAGAAGGGTCCATGACCCCATATCTTGGGTAATGATCAACCATTTTTGAAGGTGAAAGGGAAACCGCCCCGGTTTTTGGCTTTGATAAACCACCAAAGGACCCCAGGCTTTGGGTGTGCATGTGGCGCTAGGCCCAAGTCCATTCGCGAAGCCTTCTATTAGATGTGCACCAATTCTGGGCCGGCGTGCTTTCTAGATGAGGTATTTTTTAGGTTCACTCAGTCTGGACCAGAATCACACACACTTTTTTGGGGGAGCCGCAAGCTGAGGTGGTTTGATTTCCCAGTGGTTTACTCCCGGGCAGGGTTTCCCCAAGTCAGGCTTCCTTTTTGTCGGCTCGTATTCTTCCCAGGGTTCTGCAAAAGCTCGGGTCTTTCCTAGGGAGACTGGAGCCAGTTTGCCTTTCCGTTTCTTGCGAGACCACACAAACTGGTCAATCGCAAGGCAAACGGCAACACGGGTCATTCCCGGCAAAGACTGCACCCCATCCCACGTTAAATGGTACATCTGATGTACATGTCTGGTTGGTTTTGTGGGGAAGCCCAACGGGCTCCACTTAGTCTCAGAGAGCCACCATGTTGAGACGGACAAACGAAGCTTTGGGAGTGTCCGTCTTGGGTGAGTCTCTGGGAGCATGTCAAACAATCGCAAGGAATCAAAGGACAGAGTCGTTCGTTAGTTGAAGAGTTCTTTTCAAAGCGGCCCCTCTCTCAGATGCCATGTTTGTGAGGGTGCCATTTCATTCCTCAACTTACCCATTTTATTTGTTGGTTCCAAGGTGGACGGGCTGAACAGGGCATTTGTTGCAGCTTGTGCAACCCCCACCACCAGATTGAGGCCCAGCCTTGTAAGCCCATGTAAGCAATCGGTCATTCGGCCGTAGGACATGATCGTGATCACTACGTAATTATGCTTCCTATGAGACATGGAGAGTCTTACAAGCAATGTAAACTGAGTGGCAATTGACCCGCGCGGGTTGTTGGTTCAATGCTAGTCCCTGTTCCCCCGTGTGTTTATCCTTTTTCTATCTGTTGGTTGGGGCTTCCATTGACACCCTGGTTTTCATTGACACCCAAAGACTGGGGGAGGGAGTAAGTTGTGCAGGTGTTTGAGGTGCCCTTGTTGGCTTTGTTTAGAGTCTCGATTTGCTGGACAATGTGATTTCCACAAATGGCGGCTGACCACAATCAAGTGGATGACGTCTCAAAACAGCAGGACCCCCCCCCCAAACTTGATGATTTCCTTTGTAACAGAAAAGGATGGGACCAGAAAAAACGGCCATCAAACAAGTATATTTTCCACACCCCAAGGGATCCGCCCCCCAAAAAAGAAGATAGGAAGCCAAGAAGACGCATCCATCTGAGGTCCACTCCTTTGATCTTCAGCACGGCGCCGGGGCGCCCGAAACAACCTGAAAGTCTTGATTTCTGAGTCGGGCTGGCCAAGGGGTCTTTTCGGGGTCTGAAAAGGACACCAGAAAGGAATCCGCCAATTTGGAGGGGCGATTTTGAGACCCACCCAAACAGCAGATATCTCTTTTGGAGCTGCTTGAAATGGAGCTGTTGGATAGAGTTGGAAGGGAGGCCACCCGCCACCCACTGACCCACGATGCATTTGGAGGTGTCACCTGTTCTCGGGAACACTCATGCGATGGTTTGAGATGAAGTCTCGAGACTTCAGCATCTTCTGAATCTTCTGAACTCAGGGCTGTCTTCTGACTACTCTCCTGCAACAAGGAACCGCAACAAAAACCGCATGTACAAACAACTGCTGCTTTTAGGGGATTCCCTTACGTGGTCTAATTTTTCTGAGAGGGGGAGGTTAGTTTGCGTTGCTTTCGCGGAATACTGCGTTATGGAGGCTCCATGGTCGATGTCTTGCAAATTATTGTGGCGTGATGCACATTATTTCGCACTAGTTTTACAGTGAACTTGACAGGACTAAGTAGATCTTGCTCTTTGCAGTGGCTTGTTCAGCAGAGGAAGAGTGACCCATGAGATTCCATCATTAGACCGTGGTAGAACCAGGCAAACCTTGGCCGCAAGACCCTACCCAAGGCTCAACCCTTCTAAGAACCCCTCCAAAGAAGGCCCTAAGAACCTTTCCGGCCTGGGGGGGGGGCTCTTTGGATTCCTCCCTAAGCAAGGTCTTCGTTTGCCATCGCGAGCGAGCGAGGTGCATGTCTGGGAGGGTGCCCGCTACAGCATCGTCTTCTGGATCAAGGACTCGGCGCAGGCAAGTCGACGGTTGCTCAGCGCCTGTAAACAGCTCCTCCAAGCCGCTTTCTTGGTTTAGGGTTGACGAAATGTCTGGGTGAATTATGACGACCTCACACGACCTCACCCCAAATGGTGGTTTATGTGGGGAATATCCCTCCAACCACCTTATTTCAGGCTGGTGAAATATTATAACTCACCCAGAAATGTGGAACTGAATCTGGAGCTATGATTCTCTGTGTACCCAGATGGGCCAAGTGACAAGAAACAAAGGGCTAGGAATTTGGTGAGGTGTCCTTTATTTTCTGCAGATCAAGTTTCGAATGGGAGCAACTGGCCAAAACATGTTGAGATGGGCAACGGTAGGGAGTCTAAACGCGCACCAACGGACCCTCCCCAAGGACTTGTCGAACTGAGCGGAAGAGGTTCTGCAAGAGATGGGGGCACGACTCAGCTATCATCTGATTGAAGCTTCTGTTCGTGCCTATCTCAGCTTTTGCCCGCAACTGGAAATGGCACATGTGGATTCCGGCCATATTCGGTCAACCTGGAAGTGTAAAATTATGCCATTTGAGAGATCCTAGCAAAAAGTTTTGAGTTTTTGCAAGGCCATCCCTCATAGGGCCAACTGGCTGGCCTCTCAGTGTCCGGCCCGGTGACTCCTGGTTCAAAGGTCACGTGCGCGATGGAAGAAACAAAGCAGGGCGTTTGCCCGGAAAAATCCTTGAGTGGCCCCCCTATCCGCCCACACCAAAAGGCACGTTGCAACCCCATGAAGAATCAACAACTAGCTCAAATAAGGCATGTTTGGGTTGGCAAAGCCTAAGCCGCAACAGACTACCGGCAATTCGGGCTCAATTTGTCATTGTGACACCATTTACATGGTTGTTTATGTCCACTGGCCAGTTTGGACAGGTTCCCAATCTAAATTCCTAGCCAAGTACATTGTGCTCCAGTGTTCTATTTGTGTATTCCTCCCATGCCTTGGTCTTCCAACGACACTGAAACCAGCGGTCCTTCTTGACGTTCCTATTTGTTTGAGGTGAAGCATCCGCCACCGGCCTGCTTTTCATGGGCCCGCGAGATGAATTAGCAGTCCCGGATCATGTTTTCAGACATTGCGAGCAACTGGATGATTTTCCGGAAGAGCGCTATCAGCGACGTGCTCAACCTTCATTGCCAGAGGTGTTGGCAATAGACATGAAGCAGGATTCATGATAATGTATCTTTGTTGTTGGCATCGCCTGGGCCAATTTGCAGTGAGCTTCCTTTTCATTCTACTTGATGAGAGGAGGTTCTGCGCCAAGCCGCAAAGAGTAGCTGTTACCTCTCCTTGGGAGCTTCCAATGGGGTGATGGTCGGAAAAGGGGAAGCTTGCTGGGCAGGTGTAGCAAGCTTCCAGGATACCCTAAGACCCAGGGAGCCAGGTCCAGTAGTTGGTGCATGGAGGGACATGGGGGCCTTACCACATTTCCCCGCTTTCGCTTTTGCGAAATCCCAGAAATTGCTCGCTGCCTCACTTTCCGGACGTAGTTCATACTTGTCGGAAAATCATGGAAAATCCATAGCGGCAAACGCATCGTCTGGACTTCCTTTGGCCAATGCACTCCTAGGTCCTAGGTCCGCCGGTAGTGCCCTTTTACCCTTTTTTGGGGGAGGGTTCCCCTACTAAAATAGACTGCAGAAAAATGTTGGTACCTTTATTCGTGGAGGAGCTAGACTCGGACAGCGAAAGGCTTTGGATGAGGGCCGCGATTTCGATTCCCGCCAGGCGGTGCGGGATCGCAGTACGCCTTGGTATCGCAGGCTGGAAGCCGGCGCCCCAAATTGGAGGGTTTGGGCAAAAAAGTCAAAGATGCGGTCGTTTTTAGTGGATGGACCCCCTCCCCCTCCAAAAAAAAGGATGGGGGTTCTGGTTTCCCTGTAAAACCACCAAAAAAGGCTACCCTGAAAAAAAACACTCATGTTGTCACTTGGTTATTTGGAATTGATGTTGGGTTAAATGTGGATGATAATACTGGTCAGAGGGTTGCTCCAAAATCGAATAATTACCCCCCACTGCAAATTGCGGACTTGGCCCTGAAACGTGGAGGGAGCATGAATCTGCAGTGAACTTTAAATAGACGGTTGTGACTTTCTCCACAGGCCACCCTTCAGGATGTGTCTAGATTTGTTGGGGGAGTTGGGCACTGTTGCTTCTTTGCGGGCTAGTTTGCGCGGCTTTTTTGTGGGTAAGACTGGGTTATGTCAGGTTTGAACATTTTTTCATCAGATTGTGGTCAAACCGCCTTCTCTTGGTGTCTCTTTAAAGGGGCCAGGGTCTGGTCCTTTGTTTTTGTTAAACCAACATATTTTGCTCAACGCCAAAACGGGCCTCCGTACCTGGTGGGCCTGTTTTGGGGCGTGAGGCATGCGGCGTCATTTAAGCCAGGCGTCAGGAGTTAGGTTTCCTTGTCAGGTGATGTCAAGCATCACCCTTTGGGTGAGGATCCATGTACATATCTACCCGTGTCTATAATTTCTATATGTATATATATATATATATATTGTGATTAGCCATGGTTCATATCATCATCAGGGACGTCGCGTTAGTGACCGACCTGTGGTGTTTTGGCTCAAGTTTTGGGTTTCGTCGCGCCTCGAATGGGCGTCGCCGAACCCCTGCGTCGACCGACGGCATCTCGGGGGAGAAAGAGACCTCGGGCCGCCGCCAGGTTGGTAGGGACCAGTCGTGCGGCCTGTTGTCGACCAAGATTGCGGGTTAACCCTTTTCTTGCTTGGTTTGTTTTCCTTTGGTTGTTGTTCTCTGGTGTGTGGGAAACCCTGATCTTTGGGACCGGGGATTGGTTTGCTTTTGGGGAACCTTTCTTTTGTGGCTTGTTTACCCCAACTAACCCATTGCCTGGGCACAGGCTCGTGCCCGAATCACAGGTTATCAGCCGTAGGACTTTCCTACGCGCTTGAGACCATCAACTACAAGCTCTATGTCGACCCCACGATCTCGAAGGAGCGTCGTGGATGAGGAGGCCATCCTAGGTGGCCTCCGCTCAGGTGAGGACCTACCGGACTATGACTACGAGGATTTCGAAGCAGGTTCGACAGGTCAGGACCGCAGGGGTGAAGATCCCGGTAGGGATACACCCAGGGGCCGTGGCAGGTACGCCGACGATGGAGACGATCGTATTTTCCGCCAGGCCACTGATGACGAGCAGACACGAAGGGTTTACTCCGATAGGAGTGGCTCTGAATCAGGTCATAGGCGTGGACGTTTTGACTTCATCAGCATGGCGATGGACATGGCCCGCCCTCATTCGGATGACCCGGAGGCCATGCCGATTCGACCTCCGAGATCTCTTGTTCCAGGTGAGTCGCAGGTCTCGGATGAGTTTGAGAATAGGCCGCAGGGACCAGGGACTATGGTTCTGGCTCCGGGAGGTATCCCGGGCCGATCCACTGGTTCTCAGAATCCAGGTCAGTTTGATGAGCACGAGGAGCGGAAGTTCTCAGACTTCGGATACGATGATCTGTTGAAATCGACCGCAGGATGGGGCAGTAGCTCAAAGCAGGGATCTGATGCCGGTAGGCCCAACCCTATTACTGCCAAATCTGAGTCTTATGATGACGGAGATTACAATTTTGCGGATGAGGAGGAGAGCCATTCGCGCCGAAGTGCAGGCAACCGTGCGGCTGCAAGGACTAGTCCTGCCGCCGCCAAGTTTGAGGTAAATGATGATGACGAGTATGCCGCATTTGCGGATCGCCGTGATGAGGAAGAGCACCAATCACGACGAAGTGCTAGGATCCGTGATGCTGCGAGGCCCAGGAGCCTCTCTCGTGGAGCCGCCAGGGACCTTCGTGTTGACAGGGACGGCCGAAGCGAGAGAGAGAGAGCCAGGGACAGTCGGGAAGTTCTTCGAGGATTGGAGGCTATCCATGACCGTGAGGGACCGGTAGGTCCCCCGGCGATTGGTGATACCCCGAATGTTCCCCCTTTTCCTAACATTACTTTTGGAGGTCCGTTGGATCAGAGAGACGTGAACTCGAACCGGGTTACTGGTTCGCCGAGGATCACCGAGCGGGTTGCCGATGTCGTTGGGAGAGGTGCAAGAGATGGCCGGCTTGCCGATGCACTCGGAATCGAGGATCATCCGTCGATCGCTAGCCCGTTAGGGCGAGATACTAGTGACCTTGAAACACTTAGGTCTAGCAACGAGTTCACACCTCAGTGGGGCTCGACCGCTAGGGAACGTAGTGCTTCTGCGAAGAGACCGTCACCCCTGGCCATTGAGACCGATAGGTCAAAGGCGAGGAGGGCTAGCCCCTCACCAATGGATTCAACTCCGCAGGATGAGGAGATGCCTGATCCTGCTGATGTTCACATTCACTCCACCCCCGAGTCACGTGCATCCAACGTTGATCCCCGATTTGGCGATAGCCGGAGAAGGGGATCCACCCCGAGTAGGCCATCCAGGATTGATGATTGTCCCGTAGATGACCCAAGAAGGCATGCCGGGGCTAGTATCGACTCCTCCCGCCCTCAGATCTCAGTCTTCTGGCGAATCGGGTGACGTCAGGGCAAAGGAGATGTTCGAGTTGCACATCCAGGAGATGCTCGAAAGGGGTGAGGTTTCTGCCTCAGTCGCGAAGGCGTTCCATATCTTTGCTGACCAAATCAGGGTACTGAACGGTCAGGTGAGTTCCATGCGAAGGGAATGGAGTGACGAGAGCCGACAGACGAAAGACAAGGTCGATCGCCTGGCAGCTGAGGTTGCGACTCAATCTGATGCCGGGAGGATGCGAATGATAGTTCAACGGTTTGCAAGGGAAGTTATTCCTGACAGCAATACCATTGTGAGGCAAGCCATCGATGAACAGGCTGAAGTCGTCGAGCAGAGGATCAATCTGCTTTCCCACGAGATTCACGAATCTGTTAAGGACAGTGAACTCGCAACAGATCAGCTTCGCCAGAAGATTCACGAAAATAGTGAGGCTACCCGCAGGAGCCATGCTGCTTCCGAGGACGAGATCCTCAAGGACTTGGATAAGCTTGAGAAACGGATGTTCTCGGTAGAGAAAACCGTCGGGATGCGGACGCCAGCAGGTATATGGAACCCGAATCCTGTCGCGCAACCGTCCGATAGGGCCAGCAGCAGTGTGGTTGACGCGAATTTCAGGGAGTTAAACCTGAAGATTGAGAAAGCTCTCCTTGAACACGAGAAGTTTGCTAAGTGGGCCTCCGAATCTATTGAAGGCATAAATAAAGAGCATACCCTTCTTTCAAATCGGATGTCGAGGCTGCAACACGGAAGGGGATCCCAGGAGGTCGATAGACCATCAGGGCATGATTCCCCGCAGGACTGGCATGAGGCGATTGACGAGGTCAATCGGAAGATTCAGGACCTAGCGCGCGGAGTTCAACGTCAACGTCGGGATCATGACGATATCATTTCAAGGTTTGAGACCTTGAAGTCCCGTGTCGAGCGGTCTGAGGCGAGCTCGGGAGTTCTGAATCAAGTTCTTGATGATATCAGGGGGCAGATTCGTAGCCTTCCGGTAAGTACTGAGCAGGCACGGTCTGTCGTTAGACGCGAGTTGGAATCATTCCGCGACACTTGAGGCCTCGGTGAGGAGGATCAACAATGTTGAGAGCAACATTCGTACTCTTAACGGAATGAACAACAGGATCATGGCTCAGCTCTTTGAAATCGAAGGTCATGTTGATGAGGCTGCTGTCATTATTCAGGGTGCCCGAGACGATCAGGCAAATCCCCCGCAGCCTAGAGGGGGACGGAACGTTGGGTACGACGCTTTCGCGGGGCAAGGACACAGGATCAGGTCTCCGACGCCCACTCCCGGAGAAGGAAATGGTCAGGGTACTGGCCTTCCGGTGAGACCGGGCGGACGCGTTGATTTGGTTGATCACGCTTTGCCAGGTGTGCCCGGTAGGGTCGATCCTTCTCGTGCAGACAGGCATCCCATATATCCCGTTAGGGAGAGGTCCGACAGCAGAAGCCGGAGGGCTCGGGGATTGCCTGACAGGTCGCATTCACCGCCAGGGCGTGCGAGGGATGGCCCCCGCGCACGCGCAAGGGGGGACATTTCTGTTTCTCCAAATAGGGATGTGTAGGAATAGGAGCCCGAGGCCTGCCGCCGTCCCCGATAGGGGATCTGAGGTCCGAAGTCGGCAATCAAGGGGGGAGAGGCCAATCCGCGATAGCGGGAGCATCTCTCCGAACCTGGATAGACCGATCCGCGATAGCGGGGACGTCTCTCCGAACCCAGACCGTCATCCAGGAGGTGGTAGGGGTATTAGGGCCCATGCCGATACCCAGAGTCCCGGCGATGACTGGAGGACTCCTGGGAGCAGAGCTAGTGCAGACGTCCCGAGTCCCGGCGAGAGGTGGAGGACCCCTGGAGCTCCATCTGATCGTGGACAGGCCTCGGCACCGGCCACAAGAGGCGCTCCCGGTGCCGGTGGCCCAGGTGTGCCAGAGATTTGCGCCCTCGATGACCCCAACGACCGTAGGCACCCGGACGCTGAATTTTCGTGTGTTACATGCAATCGTGAGTTTTGCAGACTTTGCCGGGGCGATGATGGTGACTGTAGTAATTGTCAGTTTTTGAAAATGAAGTGCTGGGCATGTCGCAAGAATGCTCAGGAGGTCTCCATGTATTTCTGCACGGATTGTGGGACCCACGTCTGTGAGAATCACAGTTACTTTGGAGATGACGGCCTTGAGCGATGCGCGCGCTGCAATATTCGGCATGAACGCGCTCAAGCTGGACCGCCCCCTCCTCCTCCTCCTGGGGGAG